TTACGTAAGTTCCCAGGTAGACTTGACTTCGGTTTTACATTCGCTATTAATAAAAGCCTGAATGGGCGTACCTAACGCTATCTACCTGGCCAGGTTAATTAACATCTGTTATCTCTGTATGTTAAAACTCGTATGCGTTTTCAGAACATATGAACCGGGCTTAAGGTTCCTTAGGCTTCCATAAAATATTTTCGAGCTTTGGCAAGATACCAGCTGATCGCAAGAGAGCTCTATATTAATTTGACGTACATACGTTCATTGCTACATATGAGTCAAAAAACACGCATGATAATTACGAATCATTTTTTCATTGAGAAATACCGACGTATTGAATAGCGTATGTAGGATATGAATAACTCGTATACAGAGTACATATGTGTACTGCTCCCAGAGGGTTGAAAATCGATCGCTTCTCCTCGTTGCTGTATGTATGGAGTTTTCCCTCTCTTTTTTTTTTGTCTTCTTCTTTCTTGCTTGCCTTTCGACCTCTATTTTCTCGTCCTTTACTTCCTTTCTCTTTTTTTCGCTTTCCTTGCTCCTCCTCTTTTATCTCGATATCTTATTGTTATTTCGAATGCGATTTATTTTCAGAATTGGCACGATCGTCGCGTTATTCTCATCCCTTTTATTTTTGCCCCCTTAGAATGTTTTTATACGGGTGGTTCGGCCCTTCTGCGTTACACACAAATCATTGGACTCCTTGTTCGGGGTGGCACGCGCCTTGTAGATCTTTTTTTTTCCCCCCCTTAGACGAATTGGCCAAAATTTGTGTCAGCGCGATTTATATGGGATATGGGGGTTGACTTTTTATTTATTTCTTATAATTTTCCATTGCTGCGAATGACGTTCGTTGCTCCCGATTAACGGTGGATTAAGGGCGCAACGTGAAAAAATTTAATTGGGAGATTACGAACGGCAAAGTTCACGGCATATAAAGTTACGTCATTGTTATATATACTGTGTAAGGTCCCATTATGAGATTTTTATTTTTGTAAAAAAATAGTATTAGGTAACATGATGATTTTTTAACTGACTGTATATGTTATATAAGCATGAAATGGTTTTTAGGATCGAATACATTTTAACCGACGAAATGACCAATGTAATCAATGGAGTTTACTGTGGACAGTGCTATAGGAATAATTAATAAAATTATATTTAATGCCTGATCGGCCTATCCGCGAGCGAGTTTATTGGAATCAGCGAAGGCGTAATGAAAGCAGCCCTACGTATCTAAAATCAAATTTCAAGTTATATCGAAAAATACTGGTCAAAGGGGATTAAATTCAGTATGACATCCGCTGTTTGGTACCGAACGTACGAAATTATTAAATTGATAATTTCCAAAATTGATATAACGAATGAAGTAGGTATCAAAAATTACAAAAGGGTAAAAGACAAATATTATTTTTGTAATAAAAAAGTATATTTAACGTATTTGTAGCATTGCACAAAATCATACCAGAGCTTCTGCACTGAACGGATAATCAATCGTAATTCTTTTAACTTATGACCCGACACCGATAGCAAAGCATCCGAGAACGAACTATCTTCGAGAACCAACCTACGTTACCTTCGGCCGTCCACCCGTCGTTCGTGCATCCGCAAGCCAGGCGGGCGCCAGCCAATTCTTTTTTCACCGGGAACTGACGAGCCGGTAGAAACTGGGAGTTGCGGTGGAACAGGCCCAACTCCACCAAGAACGAGAGTTCTGATGGAACCTATCGGACGAGGCGATAGGTTAACGGATCCTGTTGATCTTTGGGGTCGCGTAAAATCAGCAAACGCAACTGGATGCACGAACGGGAGCGGTCGGTTACGGAAATGCGCGGCCACTAAGGCTGCTAGGTTTGAGCTAGAGAGGGTCGGTCTATAAGAATCAACCCGAGAGCGTAGCGTCTGAGCAAAGTGGCGACCCGAAGGGAACCAGAAATCGAGAACGTTATCTGTATCGGTAACCGGAGCCGCCTTGGGACTGTGATTCGAAAAATCAAGTCACAATGTACATTACCCTTAGATAATCAGAATTTCATCAATTTTCAAAATAAAATTTCCCAATTTCGTATTTCTATTTGAAACGCTATTAAACATACAGAGAATAATTGTTCAATCATTTAACACTTTAATCACCCATCATAATGATAACGTAGAGATTGCGTTTTACTCGGACGCCGCTATTACGTCATTCCCGTTTTAACCCTTTGACTACGAAAGGCTCTCGCAAGTCTATCATTATATACGAAAGGTGTATTGATATTGATGATCCACCCCGAGAGTGCGCTGAATTCAAAGGGTTGAGATTCGAATGCCGAATTATTATTATATATTATCAAGTATAAATATAACCGATAAAAATTGTCATTTCCCCAAACTTATCTGTGATAGATGAACGAAGCGTTTATCAATCGTTTAGACTCTATCCAAGCACTTGGGATAAATTCACAAGAAATCTCAAGTGCACAGTAAATTTGATCATGCGACACGTCACGCCAGACGCTACAAATCAACTGTATATTCATGAGAGCGAAAAGTCATAGAAATGTTGGCGACCGAAGGAAACATCAACGTCGACGTGTTTGACGAAGAAAAAAGTTTATAAAAATTCAATAAAGTACCAACCAATTAAATGCTTAAATTATATCGGCTAAAATGAATATATCGTAGCAAAATAAGTAAAGTTTAACTTTGCGTAATTCGCTTAGAGTGACGTCACTACGTAGCGATAACACGAAAAACGTATCGTTTCAAAAGTGACTTGAAGTATATTAAAAATTGATGTATGTCTTTCGGGTAACTTTTGAAAAACTTCAATTTCTTTTTACTACCTCGAAACCAAATGGCGTACGACTATACCCACTGGATATATAAATTTAGTATAATTTCCAAAAAGTATTTAAAGTTCAAAAACAATATTCAAGTGTAATAAATCAAATTACTCGGTACAGTAGCTCTACGAAGAAACTTTAACGATGTTTCATTTGGTTTATTATAAAAGCACAATACCTATATATATTAATCCGTATCATTATTAAATGATTAACGAAGGTGATCAACTCGTCACCTCGCTGTAACTCGTAAAGGAAATGAGGGAAATATGAACGAGCCAGGTAATATAGACTAATGGTACAACAGCTCTGCATATCATCATTCGAGCCTTAGGGTGACTGTTGAAAATAATAGTATGCAGAGTAGCAAATATGAGACAGAAATAAGCTCAGAGTAATACGCCCAAGAATATACAAGTACAGTGTAATTAAGCGTACTGATAACAGTATAATAATGTGAACGCGACATAAAACCTGATCCACAAAAAAAAAAAGGAAAAACTATGTACAAAATAAGTATACCCATTATTATATTAAGCTCACTCAACACAACCAGTATGCCCTTAATCATGCTCTGCAAGATTGATTAATTGTCGCTCTCAACGCTTTGTAGAGCTTTAAGCTTCGCTTGGCTTGCTTGGTCAGTCGCTAGTGTATTATATTATATGAAATATATATATATATATATGTATATATCGCAAAGTAAATATACAACGATATATTATATTTGTATTATATAGATATACAAAGTACATAGTCTGAACAACAGATTGGAGCCTGTTGTATTTGCCAATTCGTTAAGCAGCTTACATCTATCGACAGTTGTTGGACTTGAGAATGGAAACAGGACTTGTCAATGGACCGTAACGCGTAAGCCTGGACACTGCTGCAACGTTACGGAATGCTGTTATCACGAAATGGGAATAATACATGTATGCTAAATATATGAACTGTTCGGTATATTTAACATGTGAACTTGTATGTAGCATATATAATACATATATAAATATAGCATCAAGTAACGCGGAAGCTGTTATGATTTATGTACGCGTATTTCCCTCCAATCTAAAATATTTATTGTATATGGAGTATATCTAATTTTGGGGAAATTTGAAAAATTATATAGCGTGTATACGTGTTCAGATAATATATTAAATGTTAAATATATATTTTCACTGCTTGATTTTTTCTGAAATATAATTATCGCGTTGACGAGGAGCTTTTGGAATAATTGATAGCGAACAGATTGTTCGGTTCAATATGGGCTTTTGAAATGAATATTTAGAATTGTTTGGCCATTCGAATAATTATGTAATATTGCGAGACTGCTATTTCGAATACGAAATTCGAATTCTACGTACTGATTCCAACTCCACTGGTACAACCAAACGTGTATATATCTACCAATACTGAGAATTTGAACTCTCAGACAAATTACTAGCCTCGGGCAGTATCTGCCCGGTACATCTTGGAGTTTCAGAATTCTTGGTATTTTCAGTGTTTCGAATTTCGTTCGATTAATATATATATATATATATATATATATATATATATATATATATATATATATGTGTGTATTACGTAGATATACAATAAGTACTGAAGTTATTTACTTATTTACCTATATACAATTTTATATGAAATTTTATGAATAAACCCACGAACGAAATTTTTGAAAGATTAATTTAACTCTGAAACGAATTTGCAATTTTATTCTCCATTTGAAGAGCATTGGGTTGGGGTGTCCCAGACACCCCACGTGCCTCCTCCCCGGTTAATGATATTGGGTAACACTATATTTCGATCAATCGCAGAGATTATGAAGTTGCGTATATTGACATAGAGAGAAAAAGCTTCCACGTGGAGCTTTTCCTATTATAAGATATTTTTTTTTTAAAGAAAATTGAATGCTGTCATTCTCACCGCGTCTTAGCCGTATTATTTTGTCAATCACGTTATCTTCGCGCGCAACGTGTCCGGGCCTAAAGATTTCCTATTGGGAGGATGTTCTGGAATTTCGACATTTGACAGTTTTGAAATTGTAGAATATTCTTTCCGTGACAATTCTATTATATGTCAGATATTTTGTCACCTTTGAAGTAGCACAAAGACATTTTCCAGATATCTGAATTTCTTCGTGCGATATGATCAATCTGTTCATTCTGCCTTTTTCAGGCCGAGATATGGAGCGTCTTCATCGCAATTTTGCGAAAAAGCGTGCGAAACCTGCAAGCCTGCACCGACGTCAGTCTCATCGAGCACGTGTTGCATCGATTGTCGCGAGCGGAGATCGTCGTAGCGGGTGAGTGAAAAAAAAATTACAATATGCAAGTAATTAAGTGATTTAATTTTTTTTTTAAATTACCTATAATCCGTAAAACTTTAAATAATTAATAGAGCGTCCGTAATAATTATATCCGTAGATTTGTTAATCGATATGCTTGGAGTTCTGGCTAGCTACAGCATCACAGTAAAAGAATTAAAGCTTCTGTTCGGTGCGATGAAGGCGGTCAAAGGAAAATGGGTAAGAAATTTTTTTATTTTTATTTTTTTTTCATCCCTTCAATTTTACATTCCAGTACAGTCCTTCTACTATGAGATTACGTAATTCCTTATAGCTTGGGGAAAGTGCGAACGTAACCGTAGTAAATATTCTTTTCAGCCACGACATTCGGCGAAATTGCTTAACGTACTTCGCCAAATGCCACAACGAAACGGACCCGACGTATTCTTCAGTTTTCCAGGCAGAAAAGGATCGGTAAGTCGATTTGATACTTTAACGTAAAAGCTACTTCTGTCTTGTATGAGAATCGAATAAGGTCACCAAATAACAAAGTTCCCGCGACCTTACAAGATGAAAGCACTTTTCTTGGGTCGGGTTGCCTCGTTCTAGCGACACCTACGAACTAGAGGATTACATTGTTGCTACGGTGGCAAACGAAAAGTTTTCACTGGGAACTTTGTACTTGATTTTGTTTGATGTTATAAAAAGTTCGTACGACATTCGCTTAGCCAAACTTCATAGTTGTTTAGCACCGCTCAGAAGCACATAGCAGAAGTTTAATGAGAATCGCATAACCTGTCGTTTACGTAAGGAAAAGTGCGATACGCAAAGATCAAAGTTTAAAATTAAAAACTTTTTTCAAAAATGCACAAAACTTGTTAAACTTTCGAAGGTATAGCTATAGTTTTTTCTTTGGCTATTACCTTCTCTTTTTCATACCTAATTCGTTCTTCGCGTTGATTGTAATTTGAAAATTTACTATAGCAAGAGTCGGGGCTCATATTGTAAATTCAATGGCTAATGCAATTAACGTGTATATTCGTATCTACCAAATTGCTTAAAATTTGGCACAAGATATACGTAGACTATGCGTATCATGTTTCCTTCTGTTTGCGAAGAGTATATCGTAGCTTGAACATTCTCGAAGTCTTACGCACGTACCAGACGTTCGCTTAATGTAGTAGCAGATTCGATATACCTGATTGAAGTGTCTCGTCGGTGATATTGCGAAATTGTTTCACGAAACTTCCCAAAGTTTACTGAACACGACTTATCAATTAGGATCAGATAACCATGTTCAACGCGAGAATGGCTGCGCAGGATTACACGATTGAATCAGAAGCGATTTTTTGGCTCTGTTAATTAAATTGAAATTTACTGAAGCTCAGCGTATTATATCCACTAGAATTTTCAAAAATAAACATGACAACTAACAAGTTGTACAGGTCCTATAAGACTTAGTCTCTATACGTTATAAATGTATTTTTTACATTTTTTTCAGGCAATAGTCTTACCGCCACTGGCCAAATGGCCTTACGAGAGTGGATTCACCTTTACGACGTGGTTTAGGCTGGATCCCATAAATTCTGTCAATATTGAGAGAGAAAAGCCGTACCTTTATTGGTGAGTCTTAACGTTAACAATTAATCTTCGAATAATCCTCTTTTCGATTTTACGACCTTTTATTTCTTTTAACGAGACGGTGGCGCTCTCTCGTGGAACTTGACTGACACTACGAATTTCCTCGAGATCATTTTTTACAAAAATACGGAACAATTTCGCCACAGTGCGGTTTAATCACGTTTCGCTCACATGGAAACGGTTGGATTTTCATGCTGCGGTCTATTTACAGAGGATCCAATGCCGTATTTTCTGTTTGTGAACCGCAACGGTGTGCTTTTTCGAGAGATGACAAAACTCGCGGTTATAAAGGGGATGCTGGAATGCAGTGGAATTTATACGTGTATGGGTTGGAGTGGTTAAAAAAAAATATTTTAAAAAATCCACCTGACGAGATCCATCGGGCCAGTAAAATTCCAATGACTCTCCAGGCCTATTCAAATCGGTGCTATTTGTTCGATAACCGCTGAAACTCTTTAAAGATAACTATTTGCTGAAATACACAGGAACCACAATCCCGAACACGTTTTAACTGTTGCCAATGGAAAAAGTTTGTAAAAACTTTAGACATTGATTTTTATCTTTTTATAGAGAACGATTTTTTTTTTTTAATATTTGTACCATTTACCACTGCCCGTTGCTAGCATTTTTATTTCGATTATTTATTTGCAGCTTCAAGACCAGCAAAGGCGTTGGCTACTCGGCTCACTTCGTAGGCAATTGCTTAGTACTCACTTCGATGAAAGTGAAAGGCAAGGGCTTCCAGCACTGTGTCAAATATGAATTTCAACCACGAAAGGTAACACATGATTTTTTTAATAATACTATTTTGACACCAAAAGATATCTTTCTTAATTTGAACTAATAAAAAAATTTTTTTGTTCCAGTGGTACATGATCGCCGTGGTGTATATATACAATAGGTGGACAAAGAGCGAAATAAAATGTCTGGTTAACGGTCAGCTTGCGTCTAGTACGGAAATGGCGTGGTTCGTTTCCACGAACGATGTGAGTTGGAATTTTAGATTGTATTTTAATCCTTGATTCATTTTGTAAAAATCCTCTTATAGCCATTTGACAAATGCTACATCGGCGCCACACCTGAACTTGACGAGGAACGTGTTTTTTGTGGACAAATGAGCGCGATTTACTTGTTCAGCGAAGCACTGACGACACATCAAATTTGCGCAATGCACAGACTGGGTCCTGGATACAAGGTAAACAGATATACTTGCATCCTATAACTTATGTTTATTATTTTTTTTTTTTTAAAGCGCCAAGCAATTTATACTTTACACTGATAGTAAATTGTCTTGAAGAGAAAAAGATATTTTCAATGTAATCCACATTGAAACATAAAGACACTAAATAAGCATCAAAAGTCCTTTAGTAGTAGATCCATATTTAAAAAAAAAATAGTACATTACAATCGGCCATGTCATTTGTTCATATTACAGAGTCAATTCCGGTTTGACAACGAGTGTTACCTGAATCTACCTGACAATCACAAAAGGGTGAGTGACGAGCAGGAGCACACGAGCATGGTGGACCAAAGTATACAGCCTGTAAGCATTTTTATTTTGTTTTATTATTTCGTATTAATTTCGGTTTAGCCGCCTTACTAGGGTCGCTTTGGCCCATAACTATTTTATCACCACTTTAACGTATCTACCAACTTCGTATAACGACCAAGAACAGAGCATCAAGTGCTTCGTGTAATAAACAAAGATTTACATTGCATCCGTCAACTTTTGGTATGAATAGGAATGTCATCTATGAATTGCGTGCTTAGTATCACAATTTTCTTAGACTTTTCTTGATGGGAGTAATCTGGTGCTTACCTTTGTTTATTTGGCATAACTTTGATATGGCTGACGATTGACTATATTTTCATTAAATTATTTATATTAGTAAACCAATATTTTTATCAGCATGTAGGATATGTATACGTTTTGAATTTGCATTAAGTTTTAATTGGCTGTAGGGTATTCCAAATATTTTTGCTTGTACTGTATTTTTTTATGTATATAATAAACAGTTTTGTATTATTAGTCGAGCAAGATTTATTGACTGACAGATAGCAATCAATAATAATTATGGTAGATTCTCTTACAATTAATGAGATCAAAATGAAAAGACAAGACAAAATGAAAGACAAAGTCTGTAGTTTTTGAAATAGTATATACAACGTATAATTCTTTTGTATTATCACCAATCAGCAATACCTTGTCGTTTAATCTGTCAGATAATAAGTCTTTATTTTACTGCTGTAGCGCATTGATTGTTCGATACTGCTAATGTTCTCAGTAATATTGTACTCACCGTTGTAATGATTCCAACAAAAAAAAAGAAATAACCAATAATAACTGATTAATAATTCAAAAACGCAGGTACTATACGACGGAAAGCTGTCCACTGCAATTGTGTTCATGTACAACCCTGTAGCAACGGATTCTCAACTGTGTCTGCAGAGTGCTCCAAAAGGAAACATCTCATACTTCGTACACACTCCACATGCCCTGATGCTGCAGGTACGTTCCTAAAACAAAAGATTAATAAAATTTTTTACAATTCTTACAATAATCAAAATAATACAAATTTGTATTTTAGGATGTTAAAGCCGTGATAACACACTCGATACACAGCACCCTTAATTCGATCGGTGGTATTCAAGTTCTATTTCCATTATTCTCGCAATTGGATATGCCCTACGATTGCATAGCAGCTAATGACATCAAGCGAGATCCCACATTATGGTAATTACTACGTCACAAGCGTTACCGAACTGGATGATATCGTATAGGAAGCTTCCACTTGCATAACTGATCCCATACTTGGGAGCTAATTGTTCCATCGTCCTCTGTGCTTCCAGTTCGAAGTTATTAGGGTTCATCTGCGACCTCGTCGAGAGTTCACAGACTGTTCAGCAGCACATGGTCCAGAACAGAGGATTTCTCGTGATTAGTTTCATGCTTCAAAGAGCCAGCAGGGATCACCTCACTACTGAAGTTCTTGCCTCCTTTCTTGAGCTGACGAAACACCTGGTCACTTGTCTCAGTGCTAACAGTGATCTTTTGCTGAAACAGGTACAATAAGATGGGGTTAATTTTAATGTGACAAAGACATTTTCTAATATTCAGACCGAATTTTCAAGTTTCGTTTACACAGTATGTATGTTGTCAGATGAGTAGATTTCTTATATGTTCACAATATGACAATTCGTGAGAGGATCTTTGGGATACTACAATTTTATATTTCATTTGGAATTATATACTCGATATTTTTTATTTCATCTCTTGTGGTTAAGAAGATTGAATCGCTAAAGGTACACTCAAGTACTCTTGATGCACTGTTAAAAGAAAAATGAAAATTACATTGATATTTATTCATCTTTTATTAGTTACCTGTAGTATACTGTTATCAGATATTACTTTGTAATGTTATCGTCATAAACATCAATGTTGATTTAAATCATTGAAATAGAAACTCTATTTTTATGATAATTCAGATATTGAAAATTCATTATCATCGTTGCACTACAATAGCATGCTGATTGTCGAACACGAACGAAATGCATTGCAAAATCAAAACTTTGAGTTGTTCTTATGTTAATATGAAGATCGTCCAAAAATATTTACATTGATAACATGAATGATGAGTGTAGAAATGTCTTTCACGTATTGCGCATAAGTATTAGGTAGTTACTATTATTATTTAAGTCTATATTTTTGAATAGTTATTCTAAAGCCTTGAGCATGAGTCCTCCCTGGGCACCTTTAGAATATTCTTAAGTTCACAAATCTTTGGAGTGGATGCAATCTGCCGACTTTCTGGTTTTCTCATTTTTAACTGCCCATGCGACCTCTTGCTTGCGCTCTTGCCAAAGTGCTTCTCTACGTATGAACTTATCGTGTCAACTATTGTAACCATTCGCGCTGATGAATTCGTATGCTCCAGTTAAGAATAATGCCACTCACGACGTGCATCCTTTTATGTACGTGGAAAATGATGTTGCCACATAAGAAAGAAACATTATTTTTGTCAGACGCTCATTATGAATTCACTAGCACGAAACAGTGCGATTTTTCTTTCGTTTGTCCCTCATCACACTCTGTCCGCAAACAAACAAAAAAAGCAGCGGCAGTATTCATTTCGAAATGAAAAATACAAGTAAAAAGAGGGATTAAACCCGGATTCGTATATTCGTATCGTGTAAACAACAGAATATTTTCCAGACAATTTTTACGCTTTGTTAAATCAATTAAATTCCTCTTCTATCCACATTTATTTTTGCAAATCAATTTTTCGTAAACCAAAATACCTCGCCTCTGTGTACCGTGCAATTACACCATATTTTTTTACTCGACTGCATGTTTTTCTGGAAAGAAAATTCTTTTACAAATCCCACTACGCGTTATAGTCTTTTCAGCACTTACAGCACCGACTAATAAAATTAAATAATCGTAATCATTTTCATCTGATAATTAATTTTAATCAAGTTATCTTCATTCCATCTATTTGCTCTACGTAGAAATTGGATATTGTGCGTAAACACTGTCAGATATGGTATGTCGAATTAGCTGGTGGAAATAAAAATATGTCAATTTGATTTGAATCCGTTGAATGGCTTAATGAGATATGAATTTGAAAGAGCTAATGTCTATTTAATATTTGAATTTGTTAAAAAAAATTAAAAAAGGGTATTAACTGTGTTAATTGTATTTTCATTTAATTCATATCGTTAAGCGCCAAGCACATTCGAGTAGGTGGAACGATAAAATAAATAAAGGCAAAAAGAAAGTCGGCTAGATTGACGTGTCCGAAGAACAGGCAGATCCATGGTGATGTAGTTGTTTTACTTTTCATTCCTAACATGGCAGCTGCTGGATCACGTCCTCTTTAATCCAGCTTTATGGATATACACACCGGCGCCAGTTCAAACGCGGCTCTATTCATATTTGGCCACAGAATTTCTCAGTGACACTCAAATATACTCAAATGTCAGAAGAGTGTCTACAGTCTTGCAAACGGTACACACACTCAAATATTACTACTGGGTAGCAAATCCACGATCAAAAAGTGGAATCACACCAAAAGGACTAGGTAAGTTGCTCCAATAGTCAACAGCTGCTCCTTTGCAATTCTTTCAACCGTATAATACAATATCAACTCAGTATCCATGAATGAATTCAATTAATAAAGCCTTGATTATCGAGTGCAACTATATTGAAAGGCTTGAACCATCAAGCCAATTACAATTATTGAAATTATAATTGAAAGTCATGATGAATATTTGGAGTACTTTTATTGAGATGAAAATTTTATTAAATCCTATAAAAAGGTTTTTTATAGCTAATAGGTATTTATACTAATGAAACAATTGTCTACAGATGGACCGCGACCTCAGCAAAAAGATATTTTGACAATACGTTCATACATACTGCTGTTTCTTAAGCAGCTTATTATGATCGGTAATGGCGTCAAGGATGACGAGTTGCAGAGCATCCTTAATTATTTAACAACGATGCACGAAGTAAGTTCGATACACTCTCCTCTTTATGAAATATTTAAATATCGTGGAGAATATTTTTTTTCATAAAGCACGATACTCTTCAGGATGAGAATTTACACGACGTGCTACAAATGCTGATATCGTTGATGTCCGAACATCCGTCGTCGATGGTGCCTGCTTTTGATGCTAAACAAGGCGTAAGGACGATCTTCAAATTGCTGGCAGCTGAAAGTCAATTGATAAGACTTCAAGCTTTGAAGCTTCTTGGCTTCTTCCTTAGTCGCAGCACACACAAGTATGTATTCGTGTTCCTTGTGTCCCGTATGTGCGTCATGCGCATGTTAAATCCTCGGCTTGGTAAAAAAGATACTGAAAGTGCTCAATTTGCAGAAGGAAATACGACGTCATGAGTCCACATAATCTTTACACACTGCTCGCCGAGAGAATACTGCTTAACGAAGAGACCCTGTCCCTACCGACCTACAATGTTTTATACGAGGTATCTCTTAAGTATAATTATAATGTAATTTTATTATTGTAATACTTTGAGTGAAAATCACGAAGCGCGAGAATGTCATTGAAAATTACTGATCATTATGAAAGCTGCTTTGATAATAATTTACTTATAAAAGTATCTTTGTATCAGATAATGACGGAACATATTAGCCAACAAATTCTTTATACAAGACATCCAGAACCAGAATCCCATTACCGTTTGGAGAATCCAAGTGAGTGAAATCATTATTTCAAATTGTGTGATACTTTGCAAGATCAAAGGTGCCTGTTGAAATATACCAAGTTATTCATTAATTTTGGTTTCAGTGATACTCAAGGTAGTCGCCACCCTGATACGACAATCAAAACAGACCGAGCAGCTGTTGGAAGTGAAAAAGCTCTTTCTCTCGGATATGACACTGCTATGCAATAATAATCGTGAAAATAGAAGAACGGTTCTACAAATGTCCGTCTGGCAGGAATGGCTAATAGCGATGGCGTACATCCACCCGAAGAACACGGAGGAACAGAAAATATCAGATATGGTGTACTCGCTCTTTAGAATGTTACTTCATCATGCTATCAAGCATGAATATGGCGGATGGCGTGTATGGGTCGATACTTTGGCCATTGTTCACTCCAAGGTATATAATTGAAAATAGCAAGATCGAAGAAAGGGATTCAATTGGTTTTGTTGCTTTAGGTGTCCTACGAGGAATTCAAGCTTCAATTTGCACAAATGTACGAGCACTACGAACGTCAGAGATCTGACAACATAACCGATCCTGAGGTGAGGCAGCAAAGACCTATAAGTACGATCTCAGGATGGGATCAGCAACATTCCGGAAATAATGGCTACAGCAGACCTTCACCGTGGACAAATCAGCAAACAAATGATGTGCAGCACGTAGAGAGGAATTATAAGGTCAGTGAAGACGAATTGAATTTTATAATAGATATATTTTTAAAAGGATATCAATGAACAAATGTTCTTTTATGGTTGGTCCAGGAGTTTGATGCATCTGAAGGAACCGAAAGACTGGAAGAATCCTGCAGCTGCGACCTCAACTCAATAGATAATACCGAGAGTGATGGCAGCCCTGCAATAATGAAATCCCGTAGCGAAACTCTGGAGACACAACAATCCAGCGAAGCTGTTTCCCTGGACTCAAGATTAAGCGACAAGCCCGAGACTCCAACGACAGCGCGTGAAAATAATACAGACACGCCGACCATACTGGAAGAAGCCAACAGCGAGGCCATGTCACTGCCTACGACGCACGAGACTAGCGAGGTCATTTCTATAGAGAGTTCTAGCGATTTCTATAGTGAGGTTCACAAAATTGAGAGTTCCAGTTCAGACTCTATGGTCCAGGATACCGTGAAGAAAGATGACGAGGAAGAGACTAGCACGCGTGAAGTTCCATTAGATGTTGATTCCTGTTTGACGGAAAAGAGCGACGAGAGCGTCCCGGCGACGCCGCCAATTGACACCGACGAGATTGAAGAAATTGTCAAGAAGGACGAAGAGCAAGTTGAGAATGAAGTGAGCGACCAGTCGGCGCCGACAGACGTCCAGTCGTCTTCTCCAGAAGCTGAAGATCCTGAGAAGATCGAAAACATTGCTGGTAAAGGTGAAGAAAAGTCTGAAAATGATATGAAATCAGAGAATACTCCGACTAATCTTGATGATGACGATGATGGTGCTTTTGATGGCGCTGTCATTGTCGATGCTACTGACACGACTACGACTACCACTGATACCAACGCGACCACTGTGGATACTACTGACAAGACTTCTAATACCGATTCAAACGTAGAAGTGACTAGCTCTAACGAAGCAGAGGAGGAAACGACGGAGAAGAAAGAAAAAGAAGAGGAGACAAATAAAGAGGAAACAAAGGAAGAGAACAAAGAAGAAGCAACTCCATCCGACGATATAATAAGAAATAAATCATCGAATGAGATCGAAAAGCTTCAACTTGACAACGACAAAGATGTAATTGACAGCGACACATCAGAAGCTTATTTGACACCCACGGAGAACCACGAGGGCTCGAGCGAGAGCAAGGAAACCGAAACAGAGAAAGAAGTGGAAGTGGAAAAGATAGCAGAAGAGACAGAAACGAGCGAGAGCAAAGTTGAAATACCGGATGAGAAGATGGCCGACGCTAAGAGCGAAGAAACGGAAGATACCGCAGCGGAGGAATGTGTAAAAAGTGTCAATTGCTCAACTAGCGTAATAGAAGAAAGCTCGGATATCGATGGCTCGAAGATGGTAGAGGTAGAGATAGAGAAGGTCGATGAACTCGAATCGGAGGTGGTGGGTAGCGCGACGTTAAACAGCGGCGAATGTGCTGCGGACTCTTTAGCAGAGGAAAAAAGTGCTGTTATTAATGGTAACGATGAGAAGGTAAATGAAAAACATTCAGGGGAGCCGTCCAATATTTCTACTAGCGTAAGTGATAAATCAGACGTTCCAGTGAGAACGGACAAGGTAGAAATAGAAGATAGTGTTTGTAATAATAGCGATGTTCAAAGTTCTGTAGATAATGTGACGCAAGTGCCAAATCCTAAGCAGCAAATTCCAACAATATCTACGGTCTGTGATGCAACTCAAAGTTTACCCGATGGTGTGCCTCAAATCGTTAGTTCTAATGTGGGTGCAAGAGCCAATCCGATAGTGAATGACTTAGCTCCAGATCACGCGGATTCCCGTCGCAGATCCAGTCTACCGATTGTATCATCGGAAAGCGTCGCAGAAGGCAGTGGTGACGAACCTCCTTCACTGCCGGTTCCCTTACGTAAAACGTCGTCACCCCAGAAACGACCAAGGAGTGCCTCAACCTCCACACAAGTGGATCCCAATCATTTTGGTGAGCCATTGATCTATTTCATTCTTTCATTAATATTTATCTCACCCGTTATCCATCATTTAATTAATATTTCTATCGACAGAGTCAAAAAGAACGAAGCAAGGTAATCCTTCCACGAGACCCATGTTCAGTCCAGGACCTACCAGGCCACCCTTCAGGATACCAGAATTCAAATGGTCTTACATACATCAAAGGCTACTTTCCGATGTTCTATTTTCCTTGGAAACAGACATTCAAGTATGGAGAAGGTACGAAGTATACAAGTATTAAAATATCTCCATAATATCTGATCCAGAAACTTATGCGATCTTGTTCAACAATTTCTTACAGTCATACTACAAAATCCGTACTGGACTTTGTGAACAGCAGTGAGAACGCAATATTCGTAGTGAACACTGTTCACTTGATTTCCCAGTTAGCCGACAATCTCATAATAGCCTGTGGTGGACTTCTACCATTGTTAGCTTCAGCAACTTCGCCAAATGTAAGAAAATCTTCTTAACCTTTCAATTGAAATGATTATCATTGATCCTAATAAAATCATCAATCTATAAAATTGATATTTTCTGTATATAGAGTGAACTAGACGTGATCGAACCTACTCAGGGTATGCCAATCGAAGTGGCAGTTTCTTTCTTACAAAGACTAGTCAACATGGCGGACGTACTTATATTCGCAAGCTCTTTAAACTTTGGCGAGCTTGAGGCTGAGAAGAATATGTCTAGCGGTGGGATTTTACGGCAATGCTTGCGTCTGGTTTGTATTCTTGCTCGATAGTCTGTTTTATGATGCGATACGATACGGTATGACCATTAATATGGCTGCAACGAAGCCAATAAACTGTTAGTGTTCTTTTTTACTCTGATATCACCATTTATTTCATAATTCAGTGCATTCGTGCTAACATTAAAGCCGCAAAAATATACGGAGAACAAAACCGTCAGTCATGTTTCTTTATGGTATGGGTTCTCTTTTTCTTCTTTTCTTTTTAAAACATAAAATAGAAATGAGCCATAAATGACATCGCTCGGATAGATAGAGATATGAGTCAGCTCTTATTTGAGGACGTACATAGAATACATTTATTTAGTGCTTACTTTAATAGATTATTCTTTTAGAGCGAATTTAACTTCGCATTTCAAATCGCAAAAGTATCTTAGTTTTATTTCATAAGATCTGATTTTAATGTCAGGTTTAAAGCACTATTCGAAATGAGTTTAGAATTACTGGATGCATGTGAAACTTGCATTATATGAATCTTATTCAATTTTCCCTTGAAAATATAGTAAGAAGTTTAATTAAACAAATAGAGTATATTTCAGGAGAAGAATGAACTTGATACTAAGTTTTGATTACCATCGTCGAGGTTTAAAATCTATTTAATTGAGAGATTCACGTCAGCTTCGCATATAGTCATGTCATTTCAAAATTTCTAAACGAAATTTCGACTTTTTTTTACCTGACACTTTTTTTATATATTAAATTGCGATATGCATAAGTAAATCTGCAGATGATCGTTCAATCAATTTTTCACAGATAGACTAGGTCTAGAATAGATCTATGATAAAAGTGTAATCGATGAAGCAGTGGATCAGTATGATATTGATAATAATTATTTTATATTCCTATTTATCATATTTTCTTTCATAGTAAGTAAAGAAATAAGTATATGCTAGTCGATCCAATTATTTTCTATATATAAATCCACTGCGGCATTAACCTTTTGTTATAAATCAAGTAAAAAGTCTATTTTGTTATTATAACTACCCAATATAACGCTTGTTTAGGTCTGTACATGTGCCGTTAGAAACTGCTTAGAGTGTAAAGAACGGGGCAGACCCTACAGCATGTTAGGTCGACAGATTGGTTCTAGTAATAAATCACAGCATATACAATCTCTGATACGTGGAGCACAAACGTCACCCAAGGTATGTAAATTTTAATATATGAAATTGATATTTGAAAATAGAGTGAATTATTCGAATTCAATTATAGAAATTATTTTTCTTAACTTCTAATTTTGACCATTGCATCTAATCCTTATATAAATTTGTATTGCAATGAATGTATTTCAAAAATAGATAGTGTATCATATGCATTGTAAATTAAAATATGTTTCATCCACAGAATATCGTGGACAATCTGGCAAATCAATTAAGTCCAGTTAAGGATCCTGAAAAGTTGCTGCAGGACATGGATGTTAACCGACTTAGAGCTGTTATATACAGAGATGTTGTAAGTATGATTTGTCTGAGAATGCCTGAATGAAAATTTAATGCAAGATTTTATAAATTCCTGATTTTTCTCTTTCAGGAAGAAACCAAGCAGGCCCAGTTTCTGTCCCTGGCTATAGTTTACTTCATCTCTGTACTAATGGTCTCAAAATATCGGGATATCCTAGAGCCACCTATTTCGCAGCGGCCACCAAGTCCTGTTCAAGCAGTTCAAACCAATGGATCACACATAAGATCTGGGAGCCCATCAGGTAAATTTTTTAGAAAGAATATTAATAAAACTCTGACTAAGGCAAGAATTTCCAAAGACTTGCAAATCATTATCACAGTCTGTGCGTGGTATCAGTTCTACATTCAAGGGACTCTGTTATATGTTGAAACTATTAAAAGAAGACCCTTGGAAATAAAATTCTTCTTGAGGCTCAATTATTGAATTATCATGAATAATCTCAAAAGAGTCAATGAAAACCTCGTGAATTTTCTTCGTGATATTCATTTATGACGCAAACGGAATCTAAAAAACTTAAACGTACAATTGACTGCTGATCCTGAAAATATTAAGACAATTATTTATTAAGCTATTAATTATTTTTATATACATTTATGAAGTATATGCAAAATAATAATTATGGCAAGTTACTCATTTTATTCCCACTTTTTTTTTACATCCTCCATCTTATCATGAGGATTGAAAAGAGGGAAAAATATTTTGAATGTACAAGGCGACGTTGTTACATCATATTTCGTTTCAAATTTTTTTTTAAGTTTATCACATATGTATACGCATTGCGATATCTGAACTCAAAGTTTAACAATGGCAATGCTGATAATTCGATTATTTACTCCAACACAATTATTCAATTTGTATATTTTCTCAAAACTCTTACGTGTCAGATAAGTGTATCCCCTACTCGTATCCTTTCCATCGAAACACAATGTTCTGAATGGTCGGGCTTGTTTGTTTCGACTTCTTAATTAACAATAAGATACAATTAAAGCATGATTACCATTACTCTGAACGCATGATGCTTACAATGTTTCACCAATGCAAGCACTGCAGAAAAAAAATAAGCGTTAGTCGATATTTGTAAGTACGGTCTATATTACAATTAATAAACATTAGATCTACGAACAATTTTATTTTGATAATAATTAAATACAATTGATCAAAAGATACAAATACCTATAGCCCATACATTTTAAAAATTTTTATATACAGATTCTGGATATATACATACAGATATAATTGTTAACTCAATTAATTCACAGTGAAACTAATATACAGATCTGATATCAACTATGATGTCTATGATTATGAATACAGAATTTTAAAGCAAAGAATTACACCGTACTTACTTATATTAATTTTTTCCATACAATGCAAATTAAATTCAAACAGCAATTGACTGTAGCGTGCGTGATGATTCTAGATGACAGTAGACGCTGTAAAACATTATTGCACCAGTAATGGTAAAAATGCCACCAAGAAACAGCACCTGACTTCATTTGGTAGTGTAAGCATGCGTGGTTGCACTGGTGTAGAGATGAACTTTTTATCTGTATCTGACAGTGAGAGTTTTGATGTTTGTCGAATGTGTTTTTTGCACTTTTTATTTTTATATTATAGAAAAACTTTGTCATTACATCATTGCGGCATCATATATGGAAAAAAAAAATGTTATTCGAATACGTCCAGGTGAACTCCTGTATTTTCAACTAGACACTTTAATGACGTAGTCAGCACGATTAGCACACTGACATATGTAAATTTCTTTAAAATTAAAACATGATGACTATTTTAGTCATTGTACATCAAAATCAATTTCTATAAATTACCAATGCATACCATGAATTTACATATGTAAAGATACAATCAAAATGAGTTACTAGCTATTTTGAATAAATTTTAAGCTTCAATGAAGTACAAGAAGAATTGACGTTCAAACAAATTTTGACATTTTAGGAAATTACAATTCACTGGCTTATTATGTTTACCCCATTCATTGCTCTCATCACCTCATCGTCTACGTATTCTGAGTTAACATTATTTGATATATTCTCTGTCGTTCCACTTGATTCCATCAAACACTTTATTTCCACACATCAATAGTGTCTAGAAAACAAGAAATGTTTAACCAATGCCAACAGACATTAATAAGAGATACGTAAAACAAAAACAAAAAAGTCCATACTGTACTTCACCTGATAAATCTTGGCCACTGTGCATAACAAAAATTATGAATTAAACGTTTTCTATTTCACACTAAAAAAAAATATTCAGCACTTCAAATACTTTTGAAATCAAGAAGCGCCAAGAGCCACAAAAAATGTCGAAAAATGTTTTCCCTCTTTAGGACAAATGTCATATACTCTTGTATCACTGATTATACCAGTGATCTAAGAGCATATCTAAGATCAATGTGTTAGAGCATTAAAGATAGCGAGGACCAAGATGAAGTCTAGGACAGTCGTGATTGGCATAATGTCAGAAGTATAGAGGTTAACGAGGTCGCGATAGGCGGGTGGCTAATGTGTGTTAAATATGTGGTAAATGTGGAAAAAAATGTGGTTCCTTAGGAGATGGGAGTGGTGGTGGAGGAGGGCGGCCTCTGTTCCCACAGTGGTCTCACCACGTGTACCCTCAGTTCCTCCCGGGGTCTCACCCTAACGCCAATGCCAATGCCAATGCCAATGCCAACTACCACATCAGCCAGCACCACCACCAGCACCCGCTACCGGCTGCCAGGCACTCTAATCGCCAGCCTCCCTCCAGCTATTATCTCCCGAATCACCACAGCAACCATTATAACCATCACTCGAATAATTATAACTACCATCGTCACCATCATTATCATCATCACAATAACAACAACCATCATCATACGCTTCAAAAGCATATCGATCAGCCCCGAAATCTCTATCATAGAAATTCTGGTGTCGGTCTGCAAGGTAATTGCTCGAACAGATTCCACAAGGAGAATGCTCGTACGAATTACATTTATTGCTAATTGTGATTGTGGAATGACCGTAATTAATTTTATTTGCTCCCCACTTGATTCATTCAAATTAGTTGCCGTAGCACGTCTTATTCGCATGTTTCTTGTGTGTGCGCGCGACTCTTCTTTTGGAGGGATTGCGTGATCTCATGTGATCTCGATTGAAAAAGTACATATTTGTTTTTTACAAAAATGTTTAAAAAATTACTTATTTATTATCTGATCTTTATGTACTTTTGTTATTAACGCTTTTGAAATAATGTTGTTGTTCGTGGTCAGGAAATGTTTAAGGGCTTATGTATATGACGTTTGCGTATTCTAGTAGGGAAATAGTGTACAATTTTTATTATTATTGATCGTAAAATGAAAAACTATTTTTTTTAAATCATTATTTTTTAAGAATGTCAAGAGGTATCATAATGTCAAATAGCAATTTCTTTGCTTACAAAGAATCGGGTCTGGATTAGTTTGTAATCCGTTTTTTAGCGATTTTAAAAAACGCATGCCACTTTTGGATAAATAAATTGGAGAATTAGTTCAGATAAAATAACAAAGTTGTAGAAATGTTGAACATCACATAACTCAGTATCATTCAGATAGACAAATTATCAACTTTTAATTACGAATAAATCAATTTAGTGACATTTATTTTTTTTATCACTCATTTTTGTGCATGATATCACTACGGTTGCAGGAACGCAAAACAATTTCACTAACTTTGTATAATAACAAATAAATGCGTTATTCAAATTTTGTGAACAATAATCTCAAGCTTACTGAGTTTCCTTAATTAATAATTAACTTATTCCACTTATCTTGAAAAATGACACATGGAAAATAGGATATATCCCACATGAAGCGTTACGTCAAAAAATATTCGCGAAAATATTATTGCAAATCAATGTGATTTTTTTACGAATACTGTTTGCTTTTCAAAAAATTATTTCGCTAATTTTTTTACACGAAGCACATGCATGAGTCTGATATATGTCCCCTTCCGCACAAAAATGAAACACGCCTATAGTATATCAATGTACGAGTATGTACAAACTATACAATCACAAGAATAATTAATTCCAGTAAGAACTATTAAACATCATTGTATAGTAGAAAAATTAACTATATTCTCAACTAATAGTCATTATTAGTAATTTAAAAAATTAAACAATTTACATCTAATACTTGTTTTAATTTAGTCACTTGTCTGTACTATATTCACAATGTTTCAAGTATATCCTAAATTATTTTTTATTAAGTCTGTCAAACGTTGCTCATTTTTTCAAATTCGTACTGTTCAATCTATAGTTATAAACACGAAGCACGGATTCTGAAACTAGTAACTCCTTATTTACAATGTATCTTCTAAAATTTCAATGAGCTACAAGAAAAGTTGCAAAGAGCGTTTATTTAATAGAATATAAAGGAACATGACGCTTTGCGCAACGTGAACGTTTTGCTTCGAATCCTTTAGCTTGAATATGAAACGTGGATCGCATGAACATTCTGGTAAAAATCGGCATTCCGGTAACGGATCGTCGAAACAGTCAAACAATTTCATAAAGTTTTTAATTTATTTTTTCAGGGAGTGGGGGTATCATGAATCAGCCTGGTTCACAGGACGATGGGGAATACGAAGTTATAATTGTCGACGAGAATAATTCTTCTATTTTGGCCGATCATGATGTCACATCATCCGGTCCCCCTTCGACGAAGGTAGGTTCATCCCGATCGATCAGGTTCAATTAAAATTTATCTTACTAAATACTTTTGTTGTTCTGCTATGAAATTTATATAATCGCATCGATCTGAGTTTTTGCAAAATTTGACAGAAGGGGAAGAAAAAATCTCAAGTAAAGATTTTGTGGTTTATTATAAATTTAGTATGTTTATTAAAACGTTCTTTAGTGAATTTATTTAGGGTTAAACGTATTTCTCGAAAGAAATTTATATTTGCCAACGTGTGTTATGAATCTGACATTTACGGAATTTAGTTACAAAATATTTACTTGAGATCGCATGTTGTTTTTGGTTTTCCTTTTTTATTCGGCAAGTTTTACGTATGGTTGCGTCATTTATCTTTAGGTAGACAGTTTATAGTTTCACATATTTTATCTTTTGCTAATACGACTTTTGATAACAGCTGCGTAAATCTTTGACCATTTGGCTGAATCACATTGAGAATTGTATCTTTAATAGACTTCTTTTTTACCTCCATTCAGGCATTTTTCGCGTTTTTTTATTTCAAATTTTATACTAAAAATGATTAACGTTCGGAAAATATCACAGAAGCAATATGTATATTCAAATAACAATGAAAAAAAAGAAAAATCAATTCATATAAATTTACATAAGCAATTGACATGTTGGCAACGACTAGAAAATTTTATTATTGTCTTGGAATATATAATTATATGATATACTACCGTGAACAGCTGCATATAGTAATAATGTAAACAAAACAGGCAACAAACAATCTTGTAATTGCTTATCACCCTATATCCGAACTTTATAATTAATTAACTAATTAATTATTAATGTCACGTCAGAATCATATAAATATATTACAGACATGAGTGCACGCGAAATTTGAATGTGTCATATCTTAATTTCTGGTACGCGTATGTGAAAAAAGTATGCATTACAGTAGCAACATATAATTGTACCGCATGTTTTGTCTTATTAACAGCACTTTTATTCTCCGCATCAACTTTCAAACTTAAAAATATGCATACCTTCAGCATCGCGTCCACTATACTGTTCATATATCTATTCATCAAAAATAAACAGCAATTCCTTATCAATAATTATTTTCAGTTCAAAGTACTCACCTGATACGTAACGATCAATCAAATCATTTCTATCGCCAAAATCCAATCAGCATATAACGTCTACATGATGTTTCCACTCTAGTAAAACTTTTAACTGCCAACACTTTCTTACTTATTTTGTATAAATTCGAATGTAGCCATATGACTATGAGCATGCCAGATTCTATTCTCTGTCTCACCGTTAACTTACTTTGCTTGCATTGCTATGCGTACTAACTACGGGTTCTGAAGGGAGGTCATAGTGGTGCACCTCGACCACGGACCATTGTCGAGGGTTACACCTCATCAGAACCTGCGCTTGGCTCGTCTACGAGGCCTGAACCACTGCCACGAAATCAACAGGTAAACCTTGATGAGACTGCAGTCACAAGAATCAATCGTTCAGATAAAATTTCACTGAAAATTCATTCACTTTTGACACGATGGAAACCGACGCTCAGCTGAAAGAACTAGTACAACGTGGTACCGTTTCACGCCGCTAGAGGGCACCACCTCCTCTATTCACTCGCCAAAATAAACTGATTAATTCCACTAACATTTGAAAAGTAATACTTCTCGCGCCTAAGTCATGAACTCCTAGTATGCAAATTGTGAAAGAGTAAAATTTTGTGTTATGAAATATTTATTATATATATATATTAAATTTCAAAGTTACGAAGTGTTTAGAGCGATTTTCTTTGACTAAATTCGCGTGAATGTCAAGAACTCGTTTCGAGGTTATTTTTAAAAGGTTGCTTATTAGTCGTGTACTATTAATTGCATGTTACTAGTTACGATTATTTATTCTATAGCATACGAGATATTATCATCGAGTATTATACAGCAATATGAGTTTTGATGTAGAAGTTGTGTGTAAGACAGAATATAAATTACCAATTACTAGCAATTAATATATTTTACATCGTAGAATGGTAGTAATAGTTGAACTTACAAGTGAACCTGTAATATTTATATTATCTGTGACTTGTGACGTGTCTTGTTCAAATGTATTTATTAACATATTCATAGGTAAAAAAATTCCGTGTAAACACAACGTATGAAGTGGTATACAATTACATACAAAAAAATATTTCCACAATTTTTCTTTCTAAATTTATATTTTCTCGGTGAAACTGATGTATGCCTACGATTGCACTTAAGAATTATCTATTTTTAAAATTAGAACTGGCCAATTCAATTTTAACGAGTTTTCCACTTGTCGGTGTAAAATGCTGAAAACTCGTAAAAACGAAACCAAGAGAAAACAATAGAAATCAAGTTCTTTTTCAATTTACCTATGAAAAGTTCCTTTTTCCTATTTTCTGCAGAGTAATGACTCCAGCGAGGAAACAGTGCATCAGAGCAATATCACTGCTGACCCCAGTCCATCCGAGGTCACCACAGACAACGAGAACAAACTTAACTCGTCCGAGGAAGCTTGGACTGACGTGAATCTAAACGAAGATGGCGACGCCGTTCCTGTAACGAATCCTCGAGAGGATCCTCGAAATATTCACAATATCGCTCATACACATGGTAAAAATAATAAATCTTAAAAAAATGAATATTTGACATATCGTAGTTGGGCACAACAAAAAAAAGCAACAAGTGACAAAATTGAACACACATAATTATTTTCATAGGTGAAATTCCCGATAACGAAGGAAATGTTTTGGATCAAGAGATTCTTGGTAATTCAGAACGCGGAGAAAAACCGCCCGCGGAAATATCTGTAGTAAGAGTACCGGAAAGGCTAGTCGTAACGGCTGCGTCACCACGACCTGATGATCTTCCCATTAAAGGACTCGTTGATCATCTGCCGGTGCCAACACCGTCGCGCGAAGCGTCTCTAACTCAAAAACTGGAAATGGCGTTGGGTTCTGTGTGTCCCCTGCTTCGAGAAATTATGGTGGACTTTGCGCCATTCTTATCGAAGACGCTTGTTGGTTCACACGGACAGGAATTACTCATGGAAGGTAAAGGTACGTGCCATACGTATAAATGAATCTGTCCTCTGTTACTTTTTGTGTGTAGAAATATAAAAAAAATTGACTTCTCTCATATCGACGTATCGACATTTTTTTTTTGTAAATCACGCAATTCTTGAAACGGTGATGAACGTGGGAATCAATTAATTAATCGACAAATAAATTACCTTTCTGACATATAAGCATATTCAGCAAAGAAGTTATTCGAGAAATTACAAGTTAATGGTCGTTGCACGTCGTATTTCATATGGTCACTTAAAGACCAGGCTTGGCTCGAGTTTAATTTTAGTTAACAGTGAAGAATACATCGGATAACGATGGTCGATTAGTATGCGACTCACGTCGAGAAGAAGCTGCACACTATCCAGAAATTTAAAATTCAATGAACGTCGCGAATGATGGTCCTGCCATATTTAAATACACTCTATTTTTATCATCGAGTCATAAGTCACTAAATCCTCTATTCTGAATATAACAATTTTTGTCTTATCGATACTTCAGGTTTGACGACCTTCAAGAACAGCACTTCCGTAGTGGAGCTGGTGATGCTCCTGTGTTCCCAGGAATGGCAAAACTCCTTGCAAAAGCATGCAGGACTGGCATTTATTGAATTGATCAATGAAGGAAGGTTAGTACACCGAAAAACGATAGCTCGAAAGGTCTAACGTCAAAATTTATAAGAACCATTTCAAATTCATATTCAACTTTTCAGATTGCTGTCGCACGCAATGAAGGACCACATAGTGCGAGTGGCGAACGAGGCTGAGTTCATTCTAAACAGGATGCGTGCTGATGATGTTCTCAAGCATGCAGACTTCGAGGTGCTTATATGCGTTCACTTTACATTCATCGCGCGATAGCGCACTTGATGCTCTTAGGTGGTTTTACGACTTTGGAATAGCTGCCAAGTCTATACGACTGTAAATTGCTCGATCACTTTTATGCCTTCCTGGTTTTATTGTTGTCGTGCATTTTCACCCTTTGATTCCGCAATTTTCCTAGTACCGACTGAGCACACTGAGCTATGGAATAGAATTATTATTTGATTCGACGCTTACTTGTCCAATCCACACCCATAAACCATCAAAATACTCGCGACACCTAGCACACGTCATGAGAACCACTGATCATCAACCTGTTCAATCCCTAGTGCCAACACTGTCGATCCACCACGCACCCCATGGGGTCCTATCGTTAAATCATGTCCATAAGTCTGTGGAATACGTAACAAAGTCTGTATCCTAACCCAACTATTTTGTCTTTCAGTCACAATGTGCACAAACGTTGCTCGACCGTCGCGAAGAGGAGCGCATGTGTGATCATCTGATAACAGCTGCGCGCAGGCGCGACAACGTGATTGCTAGTAGACTTTTGGAGAAAGTACGAAATATATTGTCAAACAAACATGGAGCATGGGGTTACATGGACCCAATGGCTGCCAAGTAAGTCCTTTTTGTCTTGTTGATCACGAATCCTCACTGTGTATGATATTCATAAAATTCTTGATGATCCTCCAGATTGGCAGAATATTGGAAGCTGGATGCGTGGGAGGATGATGCTCGTAGACGGAAACGTTTCGTGCACAATCCCCTGGGTTCCAGTCATCCTGAAGCTACCTTAAAGGCAGCGCTTGAACACGGTGCACCTGAGGATGCAATTCTTCAAGCACGTGAAGAATTCCATGCTCATCTGGCCGCTTCTCGGGCACATCAACAGCAGCTCCAGTCGGCTGATCTTATGGATGACAGCGAGTTACTCTCCGATGACAGAGATCTCGACATTGATCTTACTGGTATGAGTTTCTTTTATTGATATACTAACAGAGGGTCTGATTTATTGTTTTTTTTTTTAGAATTACTATTATATGATGTATAACGACTATTCCAGGTCCTGTAAATATTAGTACAAAGGGAAAGCTGATCGCTCCTGGTATCGTCGCGCCTGGTATCATCTCTGTGACGTCAACTGAACTCTACTTCGAGGTCGACGAAGACGACGAGGAATTCAAGAAGGTCGACGCTGAGGTTAGTTTAGAATTTTTTAATATAATTTTGTCATTTCAATTGAAGTAATCAATTTTCAAGAGATACAACCTTGGATTATCTGTAGATATGTCACCATTTAACGGATGCTTGTAAATACCTGGACTCTTCGACAATTCTCATTTATAATTGTCTAAGGAATTTTGTGAGGATCCCCCTCTGCGTATAGCAGTTATTTCATTGTTTATTACCTGGAAGCTTTAACGACAGGAGTCGCTTACACGACGATAAAGACAAATATCAAAAATCTGTTGTCCTTTTATCAGGAATTCGTATCGGTCCGTTGGTGCTGTAAGATTGTCCGGTAATAGTAATAGAAACGAGACTCTCGAAAACTGTACGATTGGAGTACCTTAATTATACAAGAAAAAATTAATGAGAATTTGTCACCAACATGATAATACGTTAACGAGTCAGCCACTTCATGCTGATATCAGCAAGAGTGAAATTCTATTTTTTTTTTTTTCGAATTTTAACCTTCCCACCCCTTGATAATATCAATCGATCTTCTCTTATTTTCTCAACATTTCTCTCGCATCGTTTCACTCGGCGTGCTCTCCTTCAGTAATCTCGATAACTAATTGCCCCACCTCATTTTCAGCTCATTTAGATACGGTCTATTAGATGCATTTGGAGCGACCTGTTGCCTTCGTGAAGTTATCTTCCTGAAATACGGTCACTCGTTCCCAGAAAAGATAACGTTACTTACCGCTAAGAGCTCGGCTCGTTTTTTGTTTTTCTTTTTCTAGTTTCAAAGATACTCTTTGCCAATGTAAAAAAAAAAGAAAATCTCGATAATATCAGACGTTCAATCTTTCAAAAATGAACCATTCCACGCGATACCCCTAAAACAGGCTCCCGCCTACTTGCAAAATACCGATGAACGTTGAGATATTTGTCATTTGAGTAAGTTTTGGCGGGAAGAAAAAAATGATTTTTAAATTAAATATGACCAGTCATCCCTTTAATTTGAAACAATTTCCTTTATTATTTCATAAAATCAATATGAAAATTTGAAAAAATATAGGAAGAATTTTAATACTCGGAAATATATTGGGCGGCGCCAGTTGAATAGACCGAACGGGCTTATTTATCTTATCCGGTTGCACGAGCGTGATGAACGTGTGACCGGGGAGACGGCGGTAGCCGGCCATAACGAGGAATATTAATCACGCAAGCCGAGCATAGAATTTGAATAAATGCGATCCATAAGTGATGAGACGTGGCGAAAGCTTCCAGAAGACAAGCCGACGAGAGAGTTCGGTTGTTTCGGTAATGCCGTGGTCAGTTTAGAAGCGTCGTTGTCTATCAATATCTATAATGCCCCTACCATACGTATATCCTGCCTAGGGTTCGCCATTGAAGAAGTCAAGGAAAGAGATCTCAGAGTGTACTACGATACAGAGAGATGAGCTTAAGGATGCTGAGGGTCAGAGAGTCGTAACCCAAGATGTAGGAGGAATGGGAGGAACTAGGGAGACGATTATCATATATCGGTCGTAGATCTTGCGTTTGTATAACTAGGGAATAAAACAAACAGAGGTGGGCCCCATGGGGCCGACTGATCTTCAGGGTCGGCAATTATGAGCCCCCCGTGGGGCCCAGTATCTACCTACCTACTTTTACCTCCTTCCTTCTCTACGCTCATCCTCTCCTCCTCTCCCTGGACCATCCTCTCTTCATCTTCTCTTACCTCACCTACTATTGCACTGGTTCCATCCGAACGATAAAACCCACCCTGAATGAAACGTACATTCTGATCTCATCAATTCCCATTCATAGGTAGAATTTTGAAAATTTTTTTAAATTATAACAAAAACTCCATTCCGTACAGCTATTAATTACTAACCCAACCTGTTAATGCTTCAGAGTGCATCCTACATAGGTGCATCCTCAATGCACTCCTCTGGCAAGGATTTTGTGCAATCTGAACGGATGCGCGTGCTCGAAGGTTACCAGCCCGAAGCTCTGGTGGTTCATTAGTCGAAAATATCGTTGGGTCAGGACAGGTTCGTAGAATTCCTAGCGATGGATCACTCGATAGTCGAGCGGGGACTTAAGCGATCGTAATATGTACGCGGGACGATGCATAAAAGTGGCCCCGGGGAGAGAATGCATCGGGGCCCTTCTCTTTGGCTCATGGCGCAGTACGTCGATCGCGCATCCCCCTTTCCTTTTATAATGGCCCAGGCAAACGTATTTATCGTGATTTATCGTTTACACGGGCCTCCTCTCCGCCGTACATAGACGGCGGATACTATGCGATTACGTCCAGTGAATTATTGATAGTCAGAGGAAAGCATTAATATCTAAAACAAATAATGACCGGTACCGGGATCCGAATACTGGTTTTGTCTTACCCTCTAACGAAACGGCAAATCGTTTTTCTCTCTTACTCTCATTGCTTTAAGCTCCCTCTCTGTCTCTCTTTCCCTGTATATAGTCTCAGTCAATCCTACCTTTCTCTCAGTTTACATAACCACACCTTGAAAAGTTGCTACGATTCCGCCAATTATCTTCCTGATTCACTCGTTGCCTTTACACCACAATGGTAAAGCCTCGCGATACGTGATAATTGGTATCACAGAAAAATGCAAAAAATTTCATTAAACACGTTCTGGCTCTTTAAAAATTCTTTAGAAATTCTCTGATCCCTCGCTGCGTCTCTTATTAATGATCATAAAGTCCCTTTGAACTTCCCGCGAAGCGCTACTAGCGCCGCCACGGCTGTAGCGGACGTTCCTGCAATCGCGTGCGCGAATCGCCAGCCTCGTACACGTAAATTCTCGTGCTCTTCTAGAATGCTTGACTCATTAACAAACGAGTGGGTACATTGCCAGCTCGTCGGACCGTGTCTTACACCCACTTTAACCACGTTCACGTACGCCTGCGCAACGGGCCGTTTCTTCTTAGCGCACAGCCTTGATGAATGCACCACGAAATATCCACTAATTAAAGTTTTGGAAGGCCTTGCCTCGGAGAACATTAAATGTCAGATGGCTGCGTATCAGCTAGACTGCGTATTTCTCTTATATTCTTCAACTTCCTTTTTTTTCTCTTTATTATTTTTTCTCCAACCTTCTCCTTTCTTCCTTTACCTTTTTTCCTCCCTAAAACCTGCTGGCGCCCGAGAAATCCCCTCTGCCTACGCATGTGGCATAGGTGTATCAAGGGTATCACGCTGCGCATCCCCACGGGATATTTACTTGGATCGACGGGATAGGTGGCCCGCCATTCATTCCTTCATTCTAGACTCATCAAGCTAAAGAAGACGTTAATTAACCTACACGCAGTGTCATTGGACGCATGTTTTTTTCCAGTACCACGTGACCCTATAGTGAAATTACACCCCTGTGTCGCTTTCGAGAAAATAGAAGTGTGAATAAAGAGATGAAGAACCTAATGAAAAATTCACACCGTGCAATTGATCTCACGGTACTTTTTACGCTGTTGCGTAAGAAAAACTAGGAGATCAAGTAAACAGTATGACGGCTGGTCGACTGAAACGTGAGGTTACCAGGGATCACTGGCTCGCGTAGGGTAAATAGTCTCATGAACGTGAAGTAAAGGAATTAAGGAAAACAAAAAAATGCAAGATGTATAACAGTGGGGGATGAGCGTACACGAGCCTTCTCGTTTGTAATGCATATTTATGATATGGACGTGATGTATTGCCGGTGACGTTATAATAATGGAACTATAATTACTCCGTCCGAAGTACTGGCAGTTCGAAGTCAGCAAGCGGCTTTAAACATAGGGCGTTTAAGATTCAACCATATTTCCTACGGTCACTAGCATATATATACACGCGTATATACCCATGCTATTCCTATCGGTGATCTTATAGCGTTGCCAACTAACAAGCGATAAATAATCAAGAATGATTTTTTTTCACCTCTACTATTCCCCAACGTGCAAATTGTCACTGGTGGATTCTTATCAGTATCCGTCGCGGATTACGCCTCAGTTGAGTCTTTCGCAAAGGAATTATCCGAGTAAGCGTACAAGTCTCACAGCCGTTCTCCATGCTCGCGATTCCTTGTTTTGTCACAGTATTAATATCCAACCCAAGCGGAATCTCAGTTAGGAATCCAAAGTGTCGTGCGTGCTGCGTGCTGGCACAGCTCTTACGTAAACTGATTAGCAGTGAATCCTCGGTATGCAATGACCATGGTAGCGCATCGCCCAAGGGTGTCTATCGGGTCGTCGTGCCAGGGAGGTTGGGTAGTTTGGTAAACATCCATCAATCCGTGGGCAGGCCAGAATAGAAGGGCAAAGAGGAAACGAGGCAGACCGGTAAGAGCGGGCGGGTTTCACTCTGAACGAGGCAGTCCTGATCACTGCTATTAGCGCGAACATTACTCCGGTGGTCCGCCAATCTACCTGGCACTCCATCATATCGGTACCTCGGAGGTATCTTCCCGACGAAACGTGCCAAGGCACACGTTCACCAGGACTCGGTATCCAATCCAGGACCGGGACCAGGTTGACCAGGTTGATATTGCGAGAGTGTACGCTCTGGGTATGGAGTGGCGGATCGTGGGGATCGGAAGGATCGGGTCAGAGCTTTAGGCTCTGATCTAGTGATTATAGGTGGGGTTGGTTAGGTGATGATAGATTGGATGAACGTATAGGCAACTGTCCCGTGGTATGTCGCTGCTTGCTGTCAGCAGCTGCAGGTAGGTAGGTGGGTTGGAAAAGGAAGTTAGGTAGCTCGGAGCAAGGTAAGGATATGGTCCGATCGTCGCAAGTGTGGAACCAAGGTGTATGGGGAAGAGCTATAAGATAGGTAATAGGCGGAGCTGAGGTCCCGGTACGATCCGATCCGGCTTGTGTGACGGATGGCGCCCACCTGTGGATTCATTCACTAATCTGCTCGCTAAGCAAACAGCCCAAGCTGCACCCCGTCATTATCGCTGACGGCATAAGTAGCGCCCCGATCTTTCCTTACCTGATATTTATTATGACTCCTCTTGCCCCACCGGCGTCACTCCTCTTCGCTCTATTTTTCATCGTTGTCTGGCTTTCTGCGCACGTCTTCACTTTTCCGTGCGTCCTTCTCACTCTTGATGATTTTTAGGAGGAAACGATTAACGACCTAGCTCGTTTTTATGGTTTCATTCTCGCCAAGTTCATTCTCCACTTTGACGATTGGCTTTGGTCTTATTAGATCGCGTTAGGCAAACTATACGGCGTCAGGGCCGTAATCAGACCTGGTACCCTTAGCCGGCATCTGCGCGCATGCCATCTGGCTGGGAAGCACAAGTGGTTATCTCATTGCGGCAAGTTTAAAGATTCTTTTTTTAATATTTATCCTGTCTTTGCCAAATGAAATTTTGCTTTGGTCAGGTTGAGGACTGATCCAAGGAATTCTATCAAAATTCGGTCCTCGGTAGGCGACCGGTAGCTATTGACCTGGGCTCATCAGGTATCAGGCGAGTCGATTCGAGGCGGCAAGAAAAGACTAGGTTAAAATTAAAGAATTTAAAAAAAAATCGAAGATTCAAATCCCAGTACGGTTCTTTTGTCATTTATAATCGCAGGCGGCTAACAGGTATCGACCATGTTGTAGCTTCTTAAGAATTGCTAAGTAGGCTTCTCGACGCATTAATTAACATTAATGTAAGACCAATCTTCAGATCGTACAAATCACACGTCGATAACGTACTCTATTCGCATGTTATACGTACACGCTCCATTCCCTATATCGCACGTGCGTGGGTATCAGAGACACCAGTTTGGCGTACCTATGTAGAAATGAGTCTCTGATTTACATATCCGAGCTTACGTCATCGACGGTCGAATGGAAAACGAGATCGACGGTACCGATCGTTCCTTTACTTCATTTTAATGAAATCGTTAATCGTCATCATGCGTGACGCTTCGACTCGAACCGATCGTCGTTCCGACCATAACAAGAACTCGAAATTCCCTTAGCTAAACGACCGTCGTTTTTACGGTTCTTTTACGGCAACGCGTAGAAAGGAACTGACTGTCTGTCCATCTGGCACAATCTGACTTTTCAACTGGAACAAAGTATCGTCTCGCTTAATAAAAAAAAATAAAGTTTTTCTCAGGTGGAACATGGTAGTCACGTGGTACGATGACCGGATGATTTTTTAATGGGGTCGTTAACGAAGTGTTTATTATTAGTTTGTTTATTAGGACACGTATCTAGTTCAAAAAACACGTACACTCACATGTATAAATTAGTGTTAAGGACCATATGGCTATTCCTATACGTACATAGGGTGTAGTTATGGATACATTTTTTTTTATCATATTGTTATATAATGTAGGTATAGGCATGAAATGAATAATCGATTTTGATGATATGGAAATTTTGCGAATCCAGAGTACATGCATGATGTAGTATATATATATATATATATATTTTTAGTTTTTTACTCTTTCAATTTTTAACAAACACTGTCACGTGGTCGGATCATTAGGCTTGGTGTTACATAATTTGTAAAATTTTGTAGAGTTTTTTTATATAAATTTTTGGAAATACCAACCTTGTAATTAATTACAGTTTTATCGTTGGCGCATTGTTATTATTATTTTAACTCGAAAACAGTCGGACATCTAGGTCGAATGAGACGTAAAGTCTTGATTTGTATGATCGCCAATAAAATTGTTCTATTCTGAAAATAAGAAAAGCGAGTGCACAGAGGAGTCGCTTGAACTGATAATAAAGAAAAAATGTGGAATCCGGTTTAGCAGGAAGTCGGACCTCGGATCAACGAGGTGAACGTAACCGGCGTCTCGTAGAGCACGTCCTCTTAGCTTCGGAGCGTCGCGACGCACCTACAAAGACGATAAGATGGTTCATTAACCAAAATAGCGAAGATCAATAATCATGAATTTTTAACGAAAATGATTAATCAGTCTTAATAGGTTGTTTGAAGATTTATCCTTTAACGAGGATAAAGTTTTGGAATATTTAAGGAAATTTATGAGCACGAGCTGCTTAGTCGATTCCTCTCGTTATCTGGCAATCATTAAATTCTTATATAGACTTTTGGAGAGTCCAAGGGAAGCGGAGAGAGGGGAATATTTATTCGTCATTAATCACGTCGAATTAATCGGTATCTACGATATATACATATACTCGAAATCCAAAGGATTCCTAACGGTACGTATTAGGTATCCTTCTTGAGTCCCTTGGACCAGGCTGTATCAGCAGAAGACGCAGGTACCAGGAAAAAGAAGATGAGCCATGAAGATAGGCCAAGAAACGGGAATGTTGCTGACCCGGGGGTGCGCTAGTAGTTAAAACTATACGCATCCCATAATTTAGCGATTATTTTGACAAGGGTATGATCTCCTGACAGGTTGTTGGCCTTACTGCCACACACTGAAATATAGCTATTTAAATAGCCACTTAGACAATCTATAATAAATACATACTCTAGGGCTAACCCGGACAAAGCTCAACTTCATTCCTCCAAAAGATCCGAATGATCCATGATCCGTGCGACGTGTCTTGATTTACCTTCAAAATATATTTAAACCCACTGGCAACGTACCTCGAGACAAATAAATAATTAAACGACAAACAAAATTTTTCATACGAATTCAAAACATTTTTTATTTCCACTTAAATTCTCAAGAAAATTCCCTATACTCATCTTTAATCCACTGTCGTAAAAAAAAAAATAATTTTTAATTATCAACCAACTGTAACGCGGACTTAAAAATTTTCGCTCGAACCTACTCTGGGTCTGTTATTATTATTATTATGTAACATATTGCTATTACGTCAGAATATTATTTATGTCCCGGAACGTAAGGGTGTAGCAGGTGGCCTCTTGAAACGTAGAGGAATAAGTGGAGATTGTGTCCGGTAGCAAGTGAGAACGTGTGGTAAGTGGTTTGGGAAGTTCGGCGTTAGGTTTAGTGCAGGGGCGTGCGATCGGTGCTTAGTTTTGTTTTAGGTTTTCAGGCGAGAGAGGAAGCAAGGCAAAGAATAGAAGAGAGAGAGAGAGAGAGAGAGAGAGAGAGAGAGAGAGAGAGAGAGAGAGGGGGGGGGGAAGAAAAAAGGAAATGAAGCAGTGGGGGGGGGTAACCTCCCAAATGCCATCACGGGAATGATTATCCGGTTGTTAGCCAGTCTTTTGAATTAGTGGGAGGAGATGCACTTTTCAACTCCGCTTACACGCTCGCGCCGCCACACGCAACGCAAACGCCAACCAGCCTGAAACCGGCCCTGGTTACCGGTTTCAGGATCGCCGGTTAACTCGCCGAACCTCGAAAACTCCCCGTCTCTCCTTTACCATCCCAACTCAACTTTTCGATCCCGTATTTTCCCCGTTCGATCGAAAATCCATAAGAGTCACGTTCACGATCCTTTATTAAAACCCAAATGAGTGGCATCATATATGCATTCACGATCGTGACACGCATTCCCGATGATGACTTTTGGGGTCTCGCAGCCAGTGAAAATGATCGGCGTTTCTTTGATCTTGCTACCAGGTAACTTGTGACTTTTCCCAAGATAGAAAAACAAACCGGTACCGCACTCTTATTGTACCAATGGTCATTAACAATGATAATAATAATTCACAGAATAATGACAAATATACGAAGAAATCATTAAAGATTTTTTTTTTTTTGATTACTCGGTGGACGGAAATTTTGAAAAATTAAATTTGGATTCTTGTAGGAATAATTTTTTCTTCTTTGCAACCAATCCGTGTACACACTTAAGATTTTACCTAATGATGGCTCCGTTTCGTATAAGACTCGATAATAATAATAAACTGCTGCTGTATATACGTGTTCGTATTTCCTGTGTATCGGAACGTACTGGCATGTGTGGTAAGAATGGGGTGGTAAGGGGGGGTCAGCCCGCGGCTGGAGGCGCGACGTACGTTGAGTTATGGCGCAGGTTAATTATACAAAACATTCAATTATACCTCCCCACACGTGCGAGGCCAAGCCTATAAACGATACACACACGTTACCCCCGACCGATCCAGGTATAGATATATTGACCGGTTGAGATGGCCGAGGAAAATCTGAAGAACCGATCCTGATAATCCTGAATGACCCATTCCCATATCCAGAAGATCTTTGCTCCCGGTATAGGCATTTATCTAAACACGTAAGTACATACGTGTCGTCTTACTGAATATGGCGGAGAAAGATAAAGAGAGCATATATAATAACAAGCAGAGGAACCATCAATGACACGATGAATAACGATCGCGCGATCTTCCTATTGCTGGAGGCAAATAGCAATTTCTAACCTATAAACTATTCCCACATACGACAGTTAAACTGGGTTAGTCCACCAGGTATCACAGTTACCTTATGGACACGTGTTGCCATGACAGTTTCTAGCCTGAACTCAAGGCGACTGTTCAAAAAAGTATTGAGTCAGGTCAGAAATGCAATATTCATGATTTATCGCGGGACAAGTCTTATTGGTTTTCACGAATTCTCACGGTGACCGGTAGATGGCGCCATGGTGGGTCTTCTGGTAACTTCCGTCTTCTGGGCGAAAGATCGGCTGGGAAAATTGTATGAGCAAGATCAGTACCGGTCGATTGTCGAAGAACGTGTCACCGACGGTGAATATAAGTTAGCGATCAGGTCGTTCCCGGAGGGACCATTTATCACGGTCGAGATCGTTGGGATGCCTTAAAACAAAGGCTATGGTGGTTTCATGGTGGGTTTACCCGATGATGGGGTCGGGGAGGGAGATGGTGCTGGATGGGAAGCCGGAAAGACTTGGGACGAGGGGCAGAGTGAGTAGGAGGGAAGCTGCCCAGGCTGTGTTAGGGATTCGGCGAGGAGGGCCGTGGTCGGCGAAGGAGAATGGTGGCCATAACGCAGGGACTTTACGCGCTGGCGCCGGCGCCCCCCGCGGCCTCAGACGCCGCAACCATATATACCAACCGAACGGAGAGAGACTGCCGGGGACTATCTCCCAGGACTATCACTGGCGCCTCCTGAGGTCGCGCTTCAGGTCCATCGATGATTCTTTTACATCCTTTTTACCTCGTTCCTGCTGCCTCCTACGCTTCTCGATCTTTCCCACTTTCCACTGCTACGTCTACCTAACGCAGTACTCAACGTAAACCTAAAGGCACGTCAGGCTTATGAAATAAAATTAACAAACGTATCAATAAAACCATGGACGTTAATACGTTCCATGAATTAATCGTGGATATTTTCTCATGGTTTTCATAGTAACAAAATTTTACGTCCGATTGAGTCATCACTAGAGAAACAAAACTACGAGAGACTGTATCTAAAGGAACCGTAAGATCGTTAGTCCTAATTACACTTTTTTTGGGGATTCAACTGCCTGGCAAATTAAATTACCCGTCTCACTTTTTTTTTTATCATCTTTTGTAACAACCCGCAATTTCACAATTACAAAAAAAAAAAAAAAAAAACTTTATATTAAACGCAAGTATAATTTTCTTCGGTGAATTGACTTTTTTGAGAAATCATGGAAAGGAGTCAGTGACGTAGACACGCGTGGGGAGCACACATGCGGACCCTGTCACGAGTCACTGGCAAACATAGCCGCAGGAACAGCCGGGGACGCCGTAAACATGATATACGGCCCTTACTCACCCATCCGTCTGTCCGTCCGCTCATTCCTTCGTTCTCTCGTTCCTTCGTCCATCCGTTCGTAGCCAGTTCGTGGATACGTCCCATATCCCTCTCGCGTATCTACATATCTCCTCATTCGAAAGCAGCCTTATTCATTGTTTTATAGGAGCTGTAAAGATGTCAGGCAATTAAAAAGTTCGCTTGATTTGTTGAGTGGGCGGTTATAAGGTACACGCGGGGTAAAGGGGGTCGAGGCAGCGAGGGGTGGACAGGGGGGAAATCCATTCCTGCTTAGACCACGGAAGGTAAAAGGTGAAAGATAAAAAAAGGAAGACTCTCAGGATGTAGCTACGAAAAAAAGCTTCGGCGACACCTGACATTGTAACCGGGTTGTCCTACAAAAGACGCCTTCAGCTACGCCCATAAACGTCCACATGCTGCGCCCCGTTGTGATATACAGTAAGCTGTATATTACACGGGTAACGCGCTACGATACAAGAAGAACTTTCGGGTTAAGAAGTCACAGCTGTCCGTTTCGTTTCGATATTGCCCATTATACCCATCCTCCTTACGCTTTGCAGCCTTTGTGGTGAACCTAACCTAAAAACAAATGATCAAAGGTTAATAGTCTAGAGTAAGTGTCCAGAAGGGCTCTAACGGTGCGTGACGTATGGTTAGCGATACCACGTGGGACACTTTGCGAATGGGTTGTATAAAAGTCTGTCGTTCTCTATATATAATCTCTATATGACGTAGAATCAAGCTAGGATGGTTCTGAGGTTGTCGGTGAATTGAAAGTAGGAAGGTAGTATAGTTTAATTCCCGAATGGCGACGTAATCAATCTCCAAGGTAGACATCGGCACTGCGCATCTCTCTTGCTACCGATGATCTTGCTCCTGGACCGCCTCCTCTAGTTGGCCACAGGATCACTACTTGATGATGGTATCTCGCGTAGGTCGCGACGAGCGGGACTAGCTGGATGAAAATGATGACGAGGATCTTGGGAGGGGGCAGAAGGAACTGAAGTGGAGGAGGTCGGAGGCTGTGTATTCTATGGTCAAGAGGATGCAGAGTTTGGTGGGAGAGCAGAGACGTTCTGAGATTAAAACAATGCGGTCTGGTAGATAACGCGGGTGTGACAGCTCTTCCTTAACCTGGAGACCCGAGCAAGGGGAACGGAGAAAGGTGGAATGACGAACGAAGAACGAAGACGAACGAAAAGAGCCGAGGATAAGATGGCTTAACGAGTCCCTCTAATAAATAACCAAGTAGACTTCCTTTGGGTTGGCTGGCTGGACGCGCGGTTCAGTTTGTTTTGGGTCCTACGAGGGACGGACCTCGAGAGGGACGGTCGGGGGGAATGTCAGTGGGCCCGAAGGGCTTCGGTGGACCCAGTAGAGGGATGGACGCACGATGCTCCTCCACGAAGATGGATGTGCGTCGAGGCGCCGCCGTCACCTGGCAGACCTTCCATTCGGTCCCTCTGGGTCCTGAGGTTGCTCGGTTACTCGCGCCTTAACATCCTCGGGCCCTACTTCTTCTCGTGGGCCTATACGGCCCAATACCTGGTTCAACTCTGTTCAACCAAGGGTTTCAACTTATCTGGCTCCTCTATCTTCTTCACGCATATTACACTCCGTGGAAAAAACAGCGCGAGTAAAAAGTTATCCTCTCGAAGCTTAAGGGTTCTGTCGCGCGAATAACAGGATCAGGTTACTGTCTTGGAAACGGTACCTTAGCCTATGAGAGCCGCATGGCATTTTTACAGGAAATATACGCACGCTGTGCCAGGTCACCACTACTGGATGACACCAGGAGGAAAGGGTGACCGAGATCTCTCGTTTTTCGGTACACTGATCTTTACCAGACCCATTACCTTTTCTTTTCTTTCATCCTCTCCCTGATCCCACCCCCTTCTTCCCAGATTCCCCGCTGCAGCTTGTATACCAAGGAATGGGTCCATAGTTGAAAATATCAAGATGAGAGTACCATGATGGATTTTATTAATCCAGCGACTGTTTTACTTTGTCCATTTTTTTTTTTTAGTTACGTCACGAAGAATTTCTCTTGTAGAAAGTTAAAGGTCGGAATTTAGCGAATTGCAAGTGCGCATACTTTACCATTGTAAGATAGCGTGTCCCCGTCGGCCCACCCTGGTATACGTTCAATGGCGCACATAAATCTTTAACAGATCGCATGATTGACGTCGATTTAATAGAAACGCAACTATATACAAGGATCGAGCCGGATAACATTAACTCATCCAGGAGTCAAAGGGGCTGGTCTCGCCGCGGCGGGAGTCCATTGTGCATCGGCGGACCCCTGCACTCTTCAGCCTTTCTTCCATTCTCGAAGCTGCCAGCTCCCTCGTAAAGTCAAACGTTGACACCAGACCACGGGACACCAAATGGTTGGTGCCTCGTGATATTCGAAAGTCGAGTTCAGCCGAAGGGAGCCGACTTCGCTCGAGTCGAGCCTGGGCTCTTTTTCGTGTATACGCGTTATTGTCGCCGTGTCCAAATATTACCAAGGATAGTTCATCCTCTGAATAACCTCGGTCGGACGGCTGGAACTTGCTTCTTCGTTCCCGTGGAAACGAAGAAGCTTCATCGGGATCTGGAATTCTCGGTCGGTCATCCTGACTCCGTTTCTTCTCGCGGTACGAGGGGACGCGACTTTGCTGAGAAAAATAAAGCTATTCGGCAGACTTGAGGATATTTGGTCGACCTTCGTTAAATTAGAGGGTTTATGGGTGCATTAGCAAGCTTAACGATCTAATCAAAAACTCGCCGCATCAGAAGAGCCGCAGCGGAATTGACGTGAGCGCCTTAACACCGCCACGACGCCTCGGGCTCGGCACCTTAAGCAAACTTCATGCCTTTTATCTTTGCCGATTTCTTCGGGACTACTTTCGATCTACTTTCTTATCAACGTCATTCGTTCACGTCAAATTGGCTCAAAGTACGTGTCTAATAACACCCCAAAGAAGCTGTACCGTGATTTTATTGGAATGAAAATGTAGATTTCAAAATATTCATTTTGGATGCAATTTTTTTTTAATTCTTAATTGATTAAACGATCCGAAGTAAAATTATAGATTTAAAATTTCGAAATTCTCATGAGTAACCCGTGGGACCAGAGTTGTCAAAAATGAGCGAAAAGTGACGTTTCACAGAAAGAGGAAGCGGAATGAAGAATATGGTGGTTAAAAAAGAGAAGAGGCGGTGGTAGGGGATGAGAAGGATGAGGAGGTGGAGTGGTTAGGTTTTTTCTTCGTCGGCAAGATCAAGGTGGCGCCACGCCTCCGGTCCGCCTCCTCTAATCATCGGCTCATTACTCATTAGTCTTAATGAGCCGCGCGCGCCATCCATACTTCCTATGGACCAAAATAAAACAACAATCTCATCCAGCCCCGATGATAAGACTCACGCGAACCCACCCTAATATCATTCAGATCAGCTTCCTTACTTCAGCCATAGCAAACTCACGTATTTCTTTCCCAATCGATATTTTACCCCTTTTCTGGATCTGCTTGTTCAACACTTTTATTTGGCTGAATCTGTAACGCGACGCTCTCGCGTATCCTCAAAAACATTAAAAAATGACCCGCAAGGTATTTGACGTCTTGCTCACAGGGTAAATAAGATTTTTTTTACCGGGTCCAATTTTCTTTAACGTAATAGGGTCTCTTTTATTATTAGGTCTCGTAAGACCAGCTTTGTCTTATATTTAATAATTTTTAGTTTGATCAACGTAATTATTAATATAGGACGGATTTTGAAAATTTTTCAAAATATTACCTCGAGCCTGAATAAGTTAGCATTTTTATTACCGAGCATCATTATTTAACGTAGGCTTCTTAATCCAGAGATTTTCGATCATGGAGCCCAAGGGTTCATCCCCTGTTTCCCATAAAACAAGCCATGACATCGTGCGCAGCGAAGCGACCACGTGTGACGACTGCTCTCCTGCAGGACTCGAATAGGACCCAGGACTACGTCTCGTTACATCCGTCACAGCCGCCGGTCCGTAAAATTGACGCCACCTGCCGCCCTCCAGAATCCAGCTCCTGCCCACGATTCCCGCTCTCCTGACTCATCTGCCTCTTGGATTACTTAATGCATTTATAATACGAAACTTAATGACCCCTGACCTGTCCCCTTGGCTGGAAGTTATTACAAATCGAACGAACGACTTGGCACTAGATATTTTTGCACGGCGATCCGCTCACGTTTTCCCGTATCAAGCAACTCGATCGAATTTAACGGGAAATAACGATAACTCGAAACATCCACTTAAAGCGTACTGCAAAGTGCCCAAATATCAATCTCAATAACGTAATTATGAAAAATCGAAAAAAAAATGCGTTATTGTAAAAAAAAATTTTTTAACCTATTTTTGTTTTAGTCTTACTCGAAATATTTTTTTACCAAATCCTATAATTTGACAGATCAGTCATGTTTCGGCACTGCTCCGGCAGTGACTTAATTACCGTAAAGGACCAGTGTCATTCATTAGTCCTCGGCTTAAATAAATAAGGAATGATTACATTACATTAGTGCGCACCCCGGCGAAAGGGGGAGCGCTGGGTTATACGTTGTACGTGGGGTGCGGATACAAGTTGATGTACAAAATATAATGTGATTGTTTCCAAGCGAGCGGATGGGCTGGGGCTGCTTTCACTCTAGTACTGATGACTTCATCCCCATCTGATCTCGGTTTTCTATCCATTCCAGAAATGCGGCCGCAATGAACCGACACTAAAAGCAAATGTCGGCGCGTGTTATTCCTTCCGATCGTTGGACAAACTGCGGCAGCATACAGATTTCCATCTTCGTCTTTAACGGAACCGAGACACGTGACGAATCTGAAAGTAAAATTTCGAAATTGAACCACCGTCCAGGAGTTTACAAATAATAGATAAAAAAAATTTTATACCGTGAATGGAACGATGGATTGAATGTAAAAAAAATCTTTACACGTTGGTATCCCTGGTAAAAGTGCACCAACCGGAAATCGAAGGTCATATATACCACGATCATAGAAATCTACCGGAAGTCGAAGCAGATCGCGAAAAAATGGTAGCTGGATAGGTCTTGGTAATCCTGCCGATCGGCAAGAACAAAGGTTTTAGATAGGCCAGTTTGTATACCCATTGTGCGAGAGGTCTTTTTTTCTGTTCTGGTATATATGTGTATATATATATCCAGTCTCTTTGTGCCATTCGGCACTGTTCGCCAAGCCATGGAACAGCAGCAGCAACAAGAAACGCGCAGGGAAAGGATTACCAGAGAAATCCTTTAATGGCATTGTTGGCATTTGAATAACACGAAATATGATACGAGATCAGGCTGGCTCTCGTACAGTGCTTTTCGACTCGGGGGCCCCCAGGTATAGAGTTACCCCCGTTTCGGTCCTGCTCCTATGGATTAATTGTTGGCAGCTTGTTGATGCGCCGCGATACACGCCCGAAAAACCTTTTTCCGAGAATAGCCGTCTAGCGTTTCCTCATCTCGAGTCGCGACATTGTAGCGTCTATAAGAGACATATACGTACTATAGTAAAGTACAGTAGATTTAACGCGCACTCCATAGACTACTTGCATACCCCTTATATCAACCTTGCGTAACTCTATAGCCTGAACGGAAAAGAGGGAGTTAAATTTTCAAATTTAAACCTCGTTCCCGCGCTTTTCTAGCACGCCTGTAGATAAGTGCTGAACGAGACTATTTAGCAGAATTACATTATCCGATGAGATTACGTATTGGACCTGTCAAAAGATGCTTAAGTTTTACTCCTAAAAATTTGACCTCGTATGAACTTTGGTGAACCGTTCTGTATTCGACTCGTCACGAGACGTCGGTAAAAACGATCGCGGAATTTCAAAGTGACCACGTGGCCCATACGTAAAACTAATTTGAATTAAAGCATGCGTAAGCAGCGATCTTCCTTGAAAGAAATTGATCGACCTATTCCAGCTCGAGCGACCACGTGCTGAATATTATTCCAGTCCCGGGTGAAGGAACCTTAATAATTTACGAACACACGGTATAAATTCGCATATGAATAGAATGGTGTAAAGCGACTCGACAAACATAAAGTATATGCACCACGAGATAGGAAACCGCGTGCATAGTCGGTTCACGAGTTCAATGTACTTTTTTGACAGTTCGCAAGCAATGCGATCCTTAGATCACACGTGGTTTTTCATACAGTAACGTAAAGATATGCTAAAATAAATAAATAAAATATCTTAAATGCAATACCATGCGTGCGCATACTTTGTAACGAATATTTTATGTAGCGAAACGCCGGAGACTCGTTAAGAGATTTTCAATCTGTCAAAAAAGGCACATAGAACTCGTGGACCGACTATGGTGAATCCTATGCTAATAAGTCAGTAACAATTACATAAAGTGAATTTGACAATCGTACAAACTTGTAAAAAAAAAATTATTTTTTTTTCTTCCAGGTGAGTAGCTGTTATTCGGTCTGAAATTAATTTCATACCTATATATACCTGATACGTCACTCGGTCCTCCAGTTCCCGGTAAGTAGACACCACTCTCATAAAGTCTCGTGCCTAATGGCAAAACATTAGGACTATCGCGTGTAAACGAAAGACATTACGTACGCCATGGAATATGCGTACGCAGATACGTATATAGACACCATAGAGTAAAAAAAACTGGGATCGCGTCGCTTTTTTTTACATTTGTCGAGCCTATAAAATAAACTCCGCAGGGGCGTTGTCTTTGAAGTTACGAGCGTAAACACGCGATATACATAGGTAAGTATAAAGTGAGAAGAGGTCGCGAGTTTTTGGTAGGACGTGAAAAAAAAAAAGACTTGTAAAAAATTGTCGAGGCCGGGAGGTAGATGGCGCAGCGGTGCTCGGTAAAGAAAAGAAGATAAAAAAGGAAATGTAAAAATCGTATCGGTACGATGGGAGCGATAATTTAAGAAAAAGGATGCATCCATCCCGGAGCCTGGTTCCCCGATCTCGTTCCCCTCTTACTGCAATCCAAAAATTCTCCCCTATCCCTCCCCTCCCCTCTTCTTCACTATATACCTATATAAGCATCACGCTTCCAAAAATAGAGCGATGTTTGTTGCGTTTCGCCATCCTGTTGTCGGGGTTCCCACAAGTTTGGTTGCTCCCTCGGGAATCACTGGATGAACTGCCGCCGCCGCTGTTCTCTTCCTCTGCTGCTTCTTCTGCGTCCTCCCCTTCCGTTACCGAACAGCGCACTCATCTCTTGCAGGCCGAGACATAAATCTCTGTGAAGCGAGGGTGCCGCTGTGGAGTCTGTACTCTGTCCTCCTACCCCTGCCTAGTACCTACCGAAGTACTAATCAAATTTCGATTTGGATGCTGCGTTGACGCCTGTAGCATTTTTCCCATTTTCACTCGTCGAGATGAAATCTTGATAAAAATTTGTAATCCGTTCTTCGAAGTACTTGGATCTTGCGATTGGTATGGTTATGTGATTGGTAGCAGCTGATGAAGTACTTAATCTCAACAGGGAGCAGGTATGCGGGTTAACGATGCTGGAGCTGGAGCAAATTGAAGGTACTCCAAAGGTAGTGGGTGCCTCGTATAACCTATGCACTTGGGTTTATTTATCGCTCTTCGATGACCCCCTTGTACTTTCAAGGGGTCACCATTAAAGATTCATTTCAGGTTGCCTTCACCCTTACGAATTGTGTTTAACGTGCACTTAACCCGTCCTCCGGTACTTCCCTGTAATACGTTTATAAGGGGGTGGCTGTTAGAAAGGGGTTACGCAATTTGGTCTTCGCACCCCTCATCAGGGACTTTTTTTAGCAGCGTTGGGTCAGAGAGATAAAAATAATCATTGTGCCACAGTGTATCTTTGTTGGTATATTTTTCGAGTGAAAATTCAAGTCGTATAGATTAAATTGGTAAAATCCCATGAAAACAGGGTGGTCCTATTGTTATTTAAAATCTAACGGGTGTCTTTATTTATTATCGTAACGTCAGCCGTCTTAAAAAATGGTGGACCATCATTTTCTTAAGTAACGTCCGTACAGTGTCTGGTGTACAGTATACGGTACGAGATCTCTTACTCCCCTCCGATATACCATACAATTTTTCTCCCTGGACGTTTTATCGAATTGAGTGGCGCGAAGGTACCGGTCGTTTGTATCAATTTAAAAGAGCTTCACCCTAGCCTTATCCTCTTCTACCGAAACATCACGATCCCAGGATACTAATAGCAGTAGCTTACGTAATTACCTAGTAAAAAAAAAACAATTCAAAATTTCAAGGCACGATGTTCAAAATACACTCTCATACAAAGTTCACAGCATCTTCCAACTCAAAATCAAAAGCTGCCACGTAGATCTAAATACGCATAAGCAAATACATTACCGTATTGAAACAGCCCTGGTATAACAAAATACGTGTTTTCATTCAATTCGACTAATCCAGCTCGACAAAAATTCAAAGCAGACATTCGGCAATGAACACATACATCTGTCAAAAAATGTCTATTCGTTTCTATCTAAAACCATTGACATCCGGGCATTAGTGAAAAAAAAAAAAAAAAAAAAAAAAAAAAAAAAAAAAAAAAATTTATTCCCATCTCGTCGGTATAAGAATAAATCGCGAGGATGCTTTATTATGAAATCGGAAATTGGCGTCGATCTTCGGGCGAAGAGCGAGCGTTTCCAGAGTCGTAAGATAAATGTATACAGAGATGTGGTCCACTTTGAAGGAGTCCCATAGGTCCGGGCAATAAAAGCCAACCGAACGTAAACTCATGTGAAACTGGGTTCTACAAACGTCGAAAATAAAAAAATCTCGATCCCTGCAGTCGGCTTCTTCCATGTATATAAGACTTCGTAGACGCCGGGCTAATTTAGTAGGGCGTATTTCAACACATTTGCTCGAATATATCTCGAGAGCGTATAGCGAGACGGGAGTATAGTGGATACCGTTTTTCGAAAGAAGAACGACCGAGAGTGGCTGAGAACTGCTCTTAGGTACAAAGAGTGCCGCCAGGGTCGCTGTTACAGGACCGCGTGTACATTCACAGAAAGACATGCTAGTCCCAGCAGGACGCTAACCAGATCACCGGATGTCCATGACACCCTTAATATTCCTAGATTCCACGCGGCAACCGTTATCTCCCTTATCCACAGTCAGGTTCCAACCACCGTCGGCGCCACGAGGATGATCAATATTTATTTCCTAAAGCGATAAAGCCTATCCTAATTATACGTCGTGAGAGACGATCGACAGATTAGGGAATTTCAATGTCCGCGACGGACCAGTCTGGGACTCGACGACACGTCAGATAGTAGAATAGGTACACGAGCATGCACAGCAGCGCCGTGCTTTTCTTTTACGAAGTCACAGTGATCAATTTTGAAGGACACGATATGATCAGTGCTCTGGGTCTGGCAGTCATCGCTGAACTGACTATGGATATCATTGACCCAGGGTTATAATCAAATGTATACAGGTACACCGATTAAAAGCCGCCAGGGCACGTACGTTTACGTATATAAAAGCATGACGTGCAATCAAGTGATTTTCCTAGGGTCTTTGCGTTTCCACGGTAGCGAGGGTCAAAGTTTGACGTAGGGTTATCGAAGGATGATCTGTGCCACAGCTGGGGTACCCCTTGCGCCTTGGTACCCACGTGCATCGCGTGTTTGGCAGTGCCGTATAGCAGTGTACAGGCTGTGTTGGCAGTGCTAGGACCCTGCCGTCCTCATCAATGTTTCATATCAGCATGCAATAACCCCGGGTCCGCGGTGGAGCGATACACTAAGTGGTTTTGCTCATAAAGCTGTAATGGTTTCGCAAGAGGACGGTTAGTAGTAACGGAGTAAAGGAGGGGATGTAATATTGGGCAAAAGGCACATGGGATCTGTTACGATAAAAAATACGGTGGTTATTGAAAAATGGCAAAGTTGAATTCAAATTTCCCGCTTATTATTTCTGCTATGAATTCCCCGAAAGGGGAATTGGCGTGGCTACCCTCGTTCAGCACTGAGAAAAATGAGTGACCGGATCACGCGATATATTTTTTTCATTTTTCCTTCATTTTTTCTTCACGCACGTCAATCCTCGCTATTAATGCTCGGGGTGGATACGTGGGACATGCGCGAGGGTGAATTAAACGCGTGTTATTTTTATGAAACCGTCTCCTGTCCTCCCGAGACGGTCGTTCTCGAGTTTTACCAGGAACGCGTCGGTACACAAAGAAATAAAAGGGATACGAGTATCGCGTTACTCGTACGGTGGTGGTTCCTTGTATTTTTTTTTCAAATTTTTACCCCCCCCCCTCGGTACCCCGTCCGACGACCAATAAAATTAAGAGACACAGCGAGCACGACGTGGCGGGCAAAGATCGAACGGGACGTGGTGCTAATCTCGATGAAAAAGGAGCGAGCACGTTGAATCCCGTGGCTGGGGCCCAACAGACCCAAATGGCAGCATGGGATCATAATTAGCCCAGAGACGTATTCGGGATCGTTAAGAGAATCGGCATACGTGGGATAGATATCGGTGGATGTGCACGTTCCCGAAGCTGACAGCCTAGGCAGAGTCTAATGAGAACTCGCGGTGTAGATAAGGGGCCCAGAAAAGAGGCCCAAACGACTCGACGTTACCTCTGGTGCATTCCTGCCCGGTTGCACTCTTCCATCCACTCTTTCTCTCTATATAAGACCCACCTCTGCGCCCGTACCCTCTCGGACGGTCCCCACCCCTGTGCTTTTGTCTTTATTTTGCTCGGGGCCCAGGTATCTCTTCTACACGAGCGTGGCACTCCTCCCCCCTCCCCATGCCCCCCCCCCTTGCCGCATAAACATCGCGGCTTTATCTGAACGTTTTATAGCGAGAGTCGACTGGGCCCTGGTCGAGATCGCGGGGACCCGACGGCCCAGGCCCCAACGTCGGACAGGCTCCTTTCTCTACCTACACAGTTTCTACCAATTACAATGTTTGTTTTCGTGGATTCCTTCTTTGTTTCGCGAGCGTAATCTATAGCGCCGCCAAACTGGAAACGACCCCGATGTCCATAAGGGGCCGGACGATGTGCAGATAAAGGAATCTTATGGGCCATAAGATCGTCGTTAAAAAAGAACTGGTCCCATCATTTACATACCTAGACTGGTCTCTACTGCATTCGCCTTTCGTATCGCGCATAACCACCGACGATTTTCTCGCGTTCACGGTCCATTGTCGATCTTGCCTCCCGGTGCACCTATCTTAATGTACCGTGCTCTCGCAGATACCGAACGGTACGAATAATGTGCATTACTCAAGCCTGAATCCTTTTTCGAGACGAATAGACGCAGTGGCTGACCTCTCTGTCGCTCTTACGTACATCTACCTGAGCAACGATCCCACTTGGATCCTCCTTCCTAAGGATTCTACCTGTTTCACGAGATTTTGCTTGGGCATAAATTTTTCGTCTTGTTAGCGGCTTCCCGTGTAATGGGCCAGGCTCCCATTTCATTCGCCAACCTTTTGGCTCCCTCAATGCGATCCCAGGATTCCAGCAATATACAAAATGCTATATTGTTTCTTGAGCCTGCACTCTTTCTGCGGTCTCCTGTTGTTCCTGGTTCGTCTGAATTGTTCACTCTGTGCTTGCCTGATACAGGCAAGCTCTGATTCTTCGATGGGACAAGCATTGCGATTCTAGGGGAAAAAGTGGAATTCCATTTCCGGTGTCTCGAAAACGTTCAATTATCTCTACGGTTGGATCGGGACTGGATGTGCAGGATCTGAACGAAAGTTAATTAAGAAACTCGACTCGTTAAGGTGGATCTGGCGAATAAGAGGATAATGTAGCACAGTACCGCGTTATTAATTCTCGTTAAATACTCGTAGGTGCTGCGTTAGCTGCGCTCGGGACGTAAATTACTAGCGTGGTACACGCGGAACCCCCCAACGGAGCGCGCGAATATTCAAATAAATTTTTCGCGAGTCCATGAGAACTTTGAGTGGACAGCGTCGCGCCGCCGCTTTTGATGTGACGTACGTGCTAAATTATTGCACGGTGATTGTCGTAAATTTTTTTAACTATGTATTATCAGTGCTAATATTTTTATGGATAATTATTATACTGAACGTCTTGGAATCGTGAAAGTGTCCTATCACTTTTCGCACGAGCTCTCGCGGTAGTGACTGTTATTGCGTGAGGAAGGGCTAATCGGTAATGAACTGCCTGGGAATACGGGAGATAATGAAAATTTGCTACCGTGTGCAAATTGCAGTTTCCTTCCTGGGCGATATGTGTCGCGCGTACGTGCATTGATAATGACTAATTGCGAAAAACAGGTCGCGCCAGGAGCAACGAACGTGTCGGTTGTCTTCTCGGTTTCGTGAACCTGAAAAACCGTAGAATTGACGAATATATTATAAATGACTCAGTAGTTTGCATTTTTATTTGCGAATTTGAGTCAACGGCTCCCCTTGGCTCGCGCACAAAATTTAGAGGTCACCGGGAACAATAAATCATGGCCGTTTAACGCAAAGTTACAAAAAAGAAGTGACGCGGCGGTATCTCTCGCGAATTCAAACAACGTGATCCAAGTTTGACTTTGCACGACGGAAATATCGAGAGCTGTATATATATATATATATATATATATATATATACGTAAAAGCATGAACGACGTCGCGTGCATCTTTAATTTATATTTTTAATGAAATCTCAATTTCAAAATCGCACAATCTTTCGGCCCGATCTCAATTCGCGATATTATATATAACCGTGGATAAGTTACACGAGTATTTTATAACAGTTAAAATAAATTCGCAAAGTCACAATTTAAATATCGCGGCTATTACTTTAGTACCAAGTATCACACTGCAGTCCACACGCTCGCTCGATATATCCTAGCAAATTTAACGGGAACAACGTAAAGTCTCCTTTTCGTGTGAAAACGACACCCGACCACCTGACGAGTGTGTCAAGTCTCATTGACTTAATCCAAACGTCAGAATACTGGCGACAATAAAAAAAATAGACGAAAAGAAAAATCACCAGAAGCAATACAATACGCCAAGATGCTTATAACAGAAATAAAGCTAGTTTACATAGTAGCGTATTACGTCCAATGCATACTATCCACAGTTGATATATTTCGTAAGCCAAACACGTCACATAGTCATCCCGCCAGACAACCCAGATGTGTTCATTGAACTTCATTCACATACTATACCTACCTCTAAGACCAAAATCCTCTGGTAGTACACCCAGCCACTATAGAAACAAAACTTAAGGTCCTATAGTTTATCGTGAAGGTCCTTTTCGAACGCGTGCAAGAAAGTCAAGAGTAACTGTAGCCACTTGTAATCTGCACGCCAGGCACTTTCAGCGAAACGCGAACGTGTCATTAGAGAGGTAGCTCTTACAGGTTATGCTACCTTACGTTACGTTAGCCAGCAGTCAGCTCGGGCAGCCTTGGTTACGAGACACGCTTCGAGCCTAGCACGTTCCTCGTTTCGTTCCTCGATTAAATTAACTCTACGGCACGTTTAGTAATATGGCCGCCATGACAATTTATCAAAACGCTTCGACGCTTCCGGCAATTTTTCGTTCACTTCGAGATATTTCTATACGTAGGAACTACCCGTCGGGCACTACGGTCTCTAGATATTTCAAGTACACTTTCAAGCACTCGATGCACGCACGTTTAACGGGGTTATTAGTTATTGTTTTTGAGCCGATGCCAGTCGCGTGCTCGTTCCCTGTCGCCACGCGGGAAATACTGGAACTACCAAGCACAGTTACTTAACTCGGCGTGTCTTATTGGCCGCGTGACAAACCTCCGCTCGGAACGATCAGCTTTGAATATGTCTCTGTAGACTGCAGTAGTTGACGACGCGTAAGGAATCGACTCGGCGCTCTTAGCTATAGTCCATTGGTAATCAAAGTATAAAGACTGGCCGCTGCCACGGCTAAATCAATTCTCTTATTATGACTGGTTGTAGATGGCGCTGCTAACGAGCTATTTACTCATTTATTAAACGTATGTCAATCCAAGCGTTAGCTCGTGTTTATTTCAATGTGAAATTCAGCGTGGTAATTATCGCCTATAATCGATTAACTTTACTTAACTTTCTCGATGACTCGTTTTCATTCGACGTTGAAAATCAATCATGTCGATTTATTCGTCTTATCGCACCCGTGCAATCTGCGTACATCCTTAAGCGCAAGATCGCATTGCACTACCGTACGATAATGCAATTGGTCATATATCGTTGGGATTCGATCGTTAAGTGCATAGTTACTTATATACAAGACACTTGCACGGCGTTGATTAAAAGCGTGTATATAGATATACTGTTTTGCTTGGGAAAATTGAAAAGACGATTACTGAATGCTCCTCGATGACTAACGAGTTCCGTTCGTGGAAACGTGGAAAAAAGGTTTTAGGATTACTAAAATAATTACTGGATCAGACTGTAGCGACAATCGGTATAAGAATGTATATCAAGCGTGGTTTACTCATAGGCGTATTTTCAACGGTCGTTCGCGCAGTATCGTCGTACGATATTCAGGCGGTTTCGCAATAAATTTTCGTTTCCAATAAAAAAGCGGAAATTACGTGTTAAGAAGATTTCATATCAGTGACCAAGTAAATCGAGACGTTAAAGGTCATCTTGTAGATAATGAAAAGTGCCTAATTCTCAATGACAGTGAAAGTGCTGCAGTACATATATACCTTTAACGTTATCATTAAAACGAGCCTTTACGACTTGAAGCGAAGACGCGGTAAAGAAAGGGAAACAAATGATACGCGGTGGATTAGAAAAATTGACGATCCTTGCCTCGCGACCGTCGACGCCGAATTTCGAAGCGTCGCGACGTACCGGGCCAACCAGCGATCGGAACTATTCAATAGCACGGTACTTAAACGACGCATGATTCGGTTAGATGAAATTTCATGGCGTCTCTCGCGTTTAAGTTTTTTCGTTATCGGATTGCCGAAGGATCGACAGGCATGGCGTGACGTAAGATGCATGCTGAATCGATATGATAATAATTAACTCCTCAATTTCCATTATTTTCGTATAAATAGTATTGTATTTCTCATATCGTTACAGTTCAATAAATATCTTTAGGTGTATTTACAAAAGCGGTCACGGTGTACGTAGGATACAAGAAACGTAATATTTCTATTATTAATATACAACGTAGGTACCCAAAGCGAACGTACAGCCACGATGTTGCGTTCGCGAGAACCTCTTTAACGATCGATCGTTCAATAGAGTTTAGGGCAGTCGTAAAGAAAAGAGCAAGATGGCTTCGTGAGAGAAACGAAAGATCGAGTGAGAAATCGATAAAGAATAGAAAGAGAGAGAGAGAGTGAGAAGAGAGACCGAGAATCAGGAAAAAGAAATATGTCAGACGTTCGAACCGAACTCGATTTATGGCACTAATTTGAGTGATGAGTCGTCGCACGATCACACATTCACAACATAGTTATCCATAGAGGTCCCTTTCTTTTCCTATTCTTTTGTTCCTGATCTTGCTTCTTCGTCCTTGCCAGTCCGGTGATACAGTGGCACTAGAGCTTCTCCAGGGCACGGCTATTGGTGAGTAGTTCGCGGGTCAGTCTCCAGACCTGCTTGGCAGCGTTCTCCAAGGCGCTGGGCGTCTTGTTCTTGAAGAGGTCAAGATTCGGTAGGAAGTAGTGCGGACACCTGCGGCACTGGAGGCAGGATATAAGCTGAAGAAATATCCCGTTGATACGATCGCCGAGACACATCTCGTCCCACTCGGTCTCGTGAGGATGCTTCTCGCACTCGTAGAGCAGGAGGGTCTTCATGTGGTAGCTGGTGACCGGATTCCCAGGTAGATCCAGATGTCTGTCCCGTAGAGTTTTGAGGATGCTCAGGCATCGTCTCCTGCTGGCACCCTGAAGGAGTCGATTTTCAGCATCTATGAAGGAGAGTGCCCAGGCGTCGCCCTCCATCGCGGACTGCTTGCCCTGGAGGCCGATGCACTCCTTGGAGAGCATGTCGAAGCCTTCGGCTTTGACCTCGGCGACGATGTTCGGATGAGGCCAGGGAATGTGGGGGATAGGCCAGTGCGAAGCGGACCTGGGCCAGAGACCGGCGCACTTGAACGCCGGTGTGATCTGGACCACGTACCGTTCGCGTATCCTGAGCTTGACCTCGGTGGTGTCGGCGATCATCTTGACCGAGTCGCGATATGCGCACTTGTCGCAGGCCTGAGCCACCAGGGTCTGGAACCTGGAGCGGATCTTCCGGGCGGACAGGTAACCCGAGGCCGTGATGAACTCTACCCAAAGTGACATGGACCTCTTGCGCCCGTCGCTCAACTTGAGGACGGCGCATCCTGGCAGCGTGCCGTCGTCGACGAAATTCAGCACGCCCATCTGGTTCAGGTAGATGACGATCTCAAATTCAGTAGGCGAGATGACGTCGAGACCGTCGAATCTGCCGTTGTAGTCCGTCAGGGAGGATATGAAGCGTGGCTCCTGGACCTCGACTTCCTTGAGGACATCCTGTACCACGCGACATACTTCCTGGATCGTTTTCGACACTTGCGTCTTGCGGCCCATCACTCGCTCCCCGAAGTACTTATTGATCTGGTAGACCATCTTGGACTGAGCGGCTAGCATGTCCGGTGGTAGTAGCATGTCCTCGCGCCCTCTCCGAAGGGCTTGCTTCCCGAGGATTCTTCGATCACCGCATCCTTCTCAGTGGTCTCCTTCGTATATCTCGATACTCCCTACGACGGAGTATCCAAAGACACTTTGAGTCGCGAGTGATCCGGACCTGATCAGGTTCGCCCAAGTCTCATCGATCCGTGCCGATCGGCACGGAAGTCAAGTCTTCCTGGCGAAGCTTCGTGTTCGCGAGTGACACGAGGCTGACTCCTTGACAGTCGGGATAGGGACGAGGGAGACGTTGCAGGGTAATATCGGCCACGTTGATAACCGATTTTATCGTTTGGCGATAGCCCAACGATCACCGTGGTAGGACCGGCGTAGGCGTCGCAGGGTGACGCGACGGGTAACCGCGAACTGCGAGAGACACGAACGCGAGAGGAGATGAAGACGGTAAACGAGCGTCTCGACGCTGGAGCAGAATGCAGACTGTGCCGGCCACCTCAGCGCCACCCACCCTCCGATGCCGAGGCAGGTGAGCCTCGCGTACTTCGGCTGGTCTCGACCTCCCACTACATACTTTCCCCTACTTTTCACTCCTCGCCCCCAGTTAACCAACCAAACCCCACCGACTTCCCTCGGCAGCCAATGGAAGCTGCGCACGCGCCGCACTTTGTACGCCTTCTGGTAACACCTCCTGTGGAATCGATCGTGGTCCAGCCCCTACGGTGCCAGAAGTACGCGCCGACTCCTATGTGTTACGAGACCCTCGTATACCTTCTTGGTACAACGTAGCGACCATCGTAAAAGTCCTGTCTATGAATTATGCAGGAATCTCTCCTTGCGAGGGTCCGATCGAAATCCCCCTTTATTTATTTCGAAATTTTCGCCCTGCCTTCCTCCACGTGTGCTCAGGGGTGGATAGATATCTTTCCAGCACCATTTGACTTGGATGGGTTATTTTTTTTTTCTTTTTTTTTTTTTTTTCTTTTACCCAACACACGTGCACGGAGACGAATCGTTTCCCGCTTTCTTGAGGAATACACCTTTTTTTTCTTATTATTCTTATTGGGCGTGTGTACGAACCGTGGATAACACGGCCCTGGCGATTTTACTTGGGACGAACGGGGAACCTCTTTTAATACCTATTCGATTTGGGGAATTCGAATTTTTACTTATTTCATCGGACCGTCAATAATATACGGAATTGATCGATCGGTGTAGAAATATTATTTTTTTTTTCAATATATAAAAATTCTTACGAAAAGTCTAAATATTACATATTTAGATATTTAACGCACGAGGCTAAGCTGTGTCTTATCGTTTGCTACAATGGGACACGAGTAAACGTTATCTTTTTCGTTTTCAAACTTGTATAATATATGCAAATTTTGCTTTCACCTAATGTTTTTTCGCATCATCGAATATATTTATACGAATGCAAATAGCAGGGAATTGAAGTACATGAATGTTTCATAAATTTTGAAAAAATCAGTATGCTCGAAGGAAATGCGTAACGGGTTCGATCGACATAGAAATATTATTTTTTCCCATCAAAATATGAATATTGAATATACATATATCACATATTTAAAAGTATAATGCACGAGACTATGCTATCTTATCACGTGCTACAATGTGACACAAGTCAACGTTTAGTATATCTCCTTCGTTTTCAAACTTGCATAATATACGCATATTCTGATTCCACGTATCTTTGTCTTTTTTTTCCAACGAATATATTTATAAAAAAAAAAAAAACACCAGGAGACGTAAAAAATTAAATTCCGCCAGAGTCGTGTTACCTGCTCAAAATTGAACGTCTAATTGAGAAGTTTTAATTAACGGGCAAATATTTTCGGCTGAGAATTGAAAACCGGTTGTCGCCGCTCGATGTACCTGCATGGTTATGGTTATTCGCTTCCGTAACAAATGCCATGTAGAAGATAGGGAAATGCAAGTTGATGGTCGACGAAAGAAAAAAAAAGGAAAAAAAAAATGTCAAACCGATACTCAAATGAAAGCAGGTAGTTTTACTCGCCTCGAGATAATTCTCAGTAGTCAATGCGATGACCGTATCTATAATTACGGCTGTGTTTAAAGACCCCAAAATGTCCATAGGATCTAGGAATAGGATAATCGTCCACATTCGTAGGCAATAATTATATATAGTATAGTCGTTCCTAATTTTATTGACTCAGTATCTTAACTTCCGAAATACGAAGCGAATGACGCTAATAGCGAAAAGTTACAGCTAATTCTATAGCAGCTGTACCCACAGTACTGTGCAGATAATTTTACATGTAAATTGACAAATTTTCTTGCAAAATTCTTTAAGCGCGTTCAACTGCCATTAAAAATTGTTCGCGGAAAAATGGATAACATTTAAAAAAGAAAATAAAATTTTTTTTCAAAATTTTCCGAATTCATAACGCATTTGAAAATTATTGTGCGAAATGCAGGGCTCTGGTGATAACTGTTAGGAACCAGATTTCAGTTTTATATTTATTCAAATTATTTTTTTAAAAGGGTAAACGGGACGGGTAAGTAACGAAGTGTGTATAGGGTATAGCGTAAATTCAAATAAACGCATTTATTATTTACAGTTCTAAATCTACTTCGAGTAGAAACGTTTAGTTATAAAATAAATATCATTTAAATAATAGAGAAAACTATGTACAATTTAACAATACGCAGTTAGACTACATTGAAGATGGTCGCTTTGCCAGGCGAGTTATAAATATTAATATCAATGAGAATAATGAAAAAAAAATCACATTTTGCTCCACATCGATCAACGGGTAGGAAAAGCAGAGGGACCAGAGCAGTGCTGGGTAGATAAAAGATATCCTAGATAACATACCAGAATGGGAGTCAGGTGGCGTTAGAAGTAATACCTCGAAAAAAAGAAAGGAACTAGGGAATTACCTAGAATGTAACTAGACGAATTAGGCACTGAAAGTCCCATGGCAATATATTATAGAAGCAGAAGCTTTATGCGCCAAGCGTGCGTGTTAGCTGATCCAGTCAGTAGGCAGAAATACGACGAGGTTGATAACAAGAGGATGACGATCGTCGTCGAGCGAGAGATCATTATAACGAAAAAAGTCACTAGAGTTTTTCAAGGGCCCGACTGTTGGTGAGCAATTCCCTAGTAAGCCTCCAGACTTGCTTAGCAGCATTTTCCAAGCCGCCCGTCGTCTTCCCTTTGAAGAGGTCCAGATTCGGTAGAAAGTAGTGGGGACAGCGACGACACTGAAGACAAGATATCAGCTGGAGGAATATCCCATTGATACGATTACCCAGGCAGACGTCCTCCCACTCCGCCTCCAAGGGATGCTTCTCGCACTCGTAAAGAAGAAGAGTCTTCATGTGATAGCTGCTGACGGGATTGCCAGGTAGGTCCAGGTGCCTGTCCCGTAGAGTTTTGAGGATGCTGAGACAGCGTCTCCTGCAGCCACCCTGGAGCAGCCTGGTCTCGGCCTCCGTGAAGGAGAGGACCCAGGCGTCGCCCTCCATCGCGGACTGCTTGCCCTGAAGAGCGACGCTCTCCTTCGAGAGCAGGTCGAAGCCTTCGGTCTTGACCTCAGCGACCAGGTTCGGATGAGGCCAGGGAATGTGGGGGATAGGCCAGTGGGCAGCGGACCTGGGCCAAACGCCGGAGCACTTGAACGCCGGTGTGATCTGGACCACGTACCGTTCGCGTATCCTGAGCTTGACCTCGGTGGTGTCGGCGATCATCTTGACCGAGTCGCGATATGCGCACTTGTCGCAGGCCTGAGCCACCAGGGTCTGGAACCTGGAGCGGATCTTCCGGGCGGACAGGTAACCCGAGGCCGTGATGAACTCTACCCAGAGTGACATGGACCTCTTGCGCCCGTCGCTCAACTTGAGGACGGCGCATCCTGGCAGCGTGCCGTCGTCGACGAAGTTGAAGACGCCCATCTGATTGAGATAGAGCACGACCTCGAACTCCCCCGGCGAGATCACCTCGAGACCTTCGTAGCGACCGTTGCACTCAGTCAGCGATGATATGAACCGCGGCTCCTGGACCTCGACCTCCTTCAGTACATCCTGCACGACTTTGCAGACCTCCCGTATGGTCTTCTGCACTTGGCCCATCCTGGCCTGAACGCGCTCCGCGTAGTACTTGTTGATCTGGTAGATCATTTTCGACTGCGAGGTCATCATATCTTGGGGCGACAGCATCCTCTTCACCCTCTGGGCTCTCTTTGCGTCTACTTATCGCCTTCCCAGCTGCCTCATTGCTCGTCCCCGCTTTACCCAACTCAGCCGCCACGAAAGAGTCCGGCGCGATCATCGGCCAACGACACGGTCATCGGTTCTCGTTCTCACGGCGAACGAGAGGAATATACGTACTCGGCCGTTGTGGCCAACCCGTGCGGCACTGAACTCCCAGCAGTTGACGCTCGACCAGCCAAAGAGCCTCCGGCGCGCTCTCTGTCTCTGCGAACACGCCGTCCTGCGGCCAGTGCCAGGCCAGACAGCCTCCTCTGTCACATTCACCACCTTTAGCACCTTCTCCCTCGGCGGCCCTTCTGCTTCTGAGCGTCTTTCGCGGTCACGCCCCTCAACGCCTCGGTCACGTGGAGTTTGCGCACTTTTGCCACGCCCATTGGCCTCTTTGCCACCCCCACCTTACCTGTTCGTTCTCTCTCCAGCGCACCGCGGATCTCTCCCTCCTTGTCTATCGTTAGGCTCGTTCCTACGGTCGTCGTACTCTCTCTTCCTTCCGACTAGTCTTCTCTTTTTCTCTATTCCTTGGTATCTCTTCACTTTGTCTCTGTCGCACTCGTGCTAACGAACGCGAGGCGGCTGCGCGTTGCGGAATTCGGAACTGTCAACCGCCGACGAAACCTTCCAGTGTCACGTCACCCCGAGGAACACGTGGGAAATCTTTCTTATACCTCTCGCCGGTATCGATGCAATTTATCCTTCTCGGCTTAGGTCTAATCGAATGAAATGTTATCTTTCAGCGAATTCTTGCGAATAGGTGATTGTCAGTCGAAAGAATTTTAATGAAGGGCTTGATTGAGCTTTTTCAGTAAAGTAACTCAGATCAGTACAGGTATACTTGGAAGGTATATTGTAATAAAAAATCTTTTTCTTTTTTAATCAATTTGAAAATATGAAGAAATACCCCAAAAATTCCATATTAGATATATCAAAATTTAATATATGCATAAGTCGTAGATCATAATAAAATCATCAAAAAAAAATGAGAAAAAGCTTTATTTGTATCGATCGAATTATATTTCATAATATTTATATAGTTAGCTAAATATAAATCAATATTTTATTAAAAAAAAAAACTCAAGAAATTTGAAACTTAGTTTTGAATAATTATATCGCAACATTCTCGTTATAGAATATAATTATAAAATATATAATATACAAGGGCTTCTCGGACTCGTTTCGCTTCGTTATATTTTTTAAGGACCGACGAGTTTTTAAAGTGCCCACACAATGAGCGCAACACCACGGGGATGGTACATACGACTTTAAAGGAATCTCAACGGTTACTACGGTGGAGCCGAGCGTTAAATTGCTCTTATAGATCGGTTCAAGAATAATCGACCACAAGGGTACTTCTTACCGAACTGTGAAAGAATGCCGCTTCTTGGATGCTCTGGTCTCTTCCAAAAATCGAACTATAATGTAAATAAATCGATTACAATGAGTGACAACGATAGAGAATGGACCCGTTACGTTCCTGGAACAGCATCCTCGTCTTCGTGATCGAGAATTACCACTTTCCTCTCGCTTTGTACGCTGCGAAGGAGGCCATTTAGATTTTCCAATCGGATCATCCGTTCGATCGATCTCCATTAGAAATTCCAAAATTTCGAGAAAAAAAAATCGGTATGTATTTTATTCCGACATACAGAGTCCATAGTGGTATATATAAATCTATAAGTATATAGTCAGTCTAAGAGTATACCTTTTTTTTTGACAGCTGTCAAACAAAAATTGTATACAAAGCCACGTGTTTATAGAAGACAATGTGTTTTCTATCTGTCAAAAAATAATACATTGCATTCGTGACTTGACTGTATATATCTGTATATAATTTTTCTTTTTTTACTTAAATCGTAAGAAAAATCGTAATACTCCACAATTTTTGAACGTCACTGTACATGACGAAATCGATTCATCCGAATGATTTGAGAGTCTCGTATACAAATCGAAAACAATACAAGATTCATTTCCCTCGTTGTAAATCAGGTGTACGAACGTGGCAGACGAGGCGACGTCTATTATTACGAAGCACACCGTGTGAATGGACGTTGAATTCAAAGATCGTATACTTATGCGACGCACGACGTCCGCGCCGATAACTCTGGTCGAAAAGTCATTTGAATATTCGACATTGGCATAAGAAACAGTAAACGATTTATACGGGTTGATGCTGCATATGTTCATCTTAAAAAACGTTCGTTCTTATTCTTAATTTCTTTTTCTTTCCACGCATGTACGTATACACATGCCCATACCCAAGCCACATAACAACACACGTTATACCTAAGTATACTACCTGTCACACCAATCACTCAAAAATACCTTAGGAAAATAAATTTATATCAGTTACCCCTCCCCTTATTTTATTAATTTTATTTTATAAAAATTCAAAAAAAATTTTTTTACACAGATCCACATATAACTGTATGTCCCATCCCAAGTAAGACACCTGAAGTTGCCGCGATCGAAAAACGAACAAAAATTATTTACCATACAGAAAAACAATTCGTTCGGCAGATGCGATTATTATTATTCGCTTTCGATCGCGGCAACTTCAAGTGTCCTGCTTGGGATGGAATATACAGTATATGTATATATTGATTCAAAGTTCTATTTAATCGTAATAATTAATACAGCAGGATTAATAATTAATAACCTAATCTTGAAATATTTTTAAGATAAACGTCGAAGGGCGTTTGCTCTCGTGTTGCAAAATCTAATCCAAGGTACTGGGTAACGACGGCTAAGAATCCAGAAGGGATGCTGCGGGATACTCTCTCGTTCACGGATAATTGAATAAAGCTCAGAAATCCAATCTACTTCACGGTTCCCGAGAGTAGATTGGTATGGCTGCTACGTAACAGCCCCGGCCTTTCCTCTCTAATGCGACTTGATTCATGAGCCGAGCACACGCGTACCAGCCAGCTCTGTACCCCAATCCTGGGGTCAAACGTTCTGCTAGATCACCCCAGTATTACTGTACCGGTGTATCCTGCGGGAGTAAATGTGTCTTTCATCATGCCGTTTTGACTTAATTCGTTTATACGACGAATTATTTGTGCACTCGGGGACCATAATCGTTTGGCGGACCTGGTTCCGCCAGTATTACATAAATATTACATAAATACAAAAAACTGGTATTTTTCATCCGACAGTTCAAAACATAGTAATTTCGTGTTGCCGTTATAATATTTTTTATTATAGCGAAATTTTTTTTATGGAACACATTTTTGAAATGGCTTTTGGATTTTAGTACGAAACACTGTTTAGGTCTCTGGTGACGTCCAGTGAAAAAGAGCAGCCCTGGTCAATTGTTGTTTAGCAAACGTTATCCTGCTCACTTAGGAAACCACTTCGTACTAAGTACTCCTATGCGGTACAGGTGCGTAGCTATTTGGTTCGGGTACCCTTGGAGGCCTGTTGAGAATTTTTCAATAGAATTGTCTGCATTGTGCAACCCCTCGGCTTCGCCACGACACGAAATGCTACCAGGGCGGTCACCCGAGAACCGAGAGACGAGACGAGTCGGCCTTGTAAATCAGCTCGAATGAACATCTCCTCGCATAATCCCAAATAATCCTGGGCTCAGTCGCTGAGCTCTGGCAGCCGGCAAAGACGGCGGCTCCTATATGCTATAGTCGAAATAGTGTATTACCTATTTTATGCTGACAATTCGTATAGAAAAGCACAGACTGCAAACTCCAAGCGATACCATTGTAGAACTTGAGTTTTAGGTCTGCTCGTACGTCAAAAATTGAAGAATAAAATTATTGGACCTAGCTTCGAGCATGGAAGTGATACTATAAAGTTATTTTTGAAAAATACCTTTATTTTTGAATTTAATACTCTCAAGGGAATACATTCAGATCGAAAGATAGTCAGTAGGCGTTTGACTTAATTTGCATTATTCGTGTCGCGACTGCTGAGGATATTCAGTCCCAGACTGTACTCGTCCTGTATTTCTTATTTAGGAGATGAATTTCAGTTAAAAAATTTTGGCTCTCTACAATTTCGACCAAATTTTCATCATAATTTCCTTACTGGACTAAAACGTTATCAAGATTGAAAAAAAAATTTTTTCAATAATCCTAATTCTACCTAATTGTGTTATGTCAATAATTTTTTTCACTAATTTTATGTCTGCATAAAAGCCCAGTACGCTAATACACGTCATACATCAGGATCATCATGACCTATGAACTAGCCTTAATCCTAGTACTATTTGGAGCCTAGTAACTTTACTACGTGGCTCAGCAAAGAGTCCCCGTGTCAGTGACACCCGGTCCCCTAGCATCTGCCGCCGGAAACCGGTCGCGTTATTTTATGTTTTATGATCAAATAGGAAACAGTAGGTACGGGTTAATTAAACGAGAAATGCTTTTCTTCTATTTACGATGTATTAAACGAGACATGCGACTTCGTGCCGTCTTCCTACGTAAGATTTACATTCTTGGTACCTGAAACAGAAATACATATACCTACGTTCGGTAGTCGCTTAACGAGACGTCAATGTACAACACCTGAACTTTCCCATGTCGTGACGTTGTCCCGTAAATAGGTACTCCATTAGGTAGAAACAATAGCCAAACGTATATATACAGCTACTACCTGCAATACAGCTACCCCCACGTATTTACTTCGCCAAGAGACATCGACAAGGCGCATCCTCACGCTGCAAGGCCATATACGGGATACAGTATTTATTATAAACTTTACATGAAAACAAGCCCACGTGGCTTTGACATACACAACGAGGATCCCTTTGTATCGGCGAAAGAGCCGCAGACTTAGCAAAGCACCGGGAGACGCCGACGCGTCTCCCTTTCTTCGCGTCCGTTTCTTTTGTACGTCCGAAGCCGCAATGCGTTATCTCGTGTGAGATGCGGTAATAAAGGTATGAGAACGCGCACGTGAATCGCATAACTCATTGCCAGGTAACGTGGCAAAGGACCGAGACTCTAGTGGCATTACTAACTCATCCAGTATATACATATATATACGTACACAGGATACCCAGCAGTAAAGACAGATAGATACTTCACTCGAGTAAATGTGAACACGTGGGTCGCGTTACGCGACTTAAATCTTTCAGATCTAACCAACTTACGTAGTGACAATTGTGACGTGTTTCTATGTACGTGCAGCTTTACAGAAGTAACCATCGATATCGCTCCAACCATTTCGAATAACATAAACCATGCGTGTCCTGACTGACGATGCACTCTGAAACGTCCCTCACGTTCCTGCAGTTCGTTATTCAGCCAGAGTTCGGATCGATCGAAAAAATTCTAGGCAGGAATCGGCGTCGTTGCAATGGAAACGTATTTAAATTTTTTTTGTGCAACAAAATTTTTTTTTTATTCGTACGACATGTTCATTTTAGGTAAACATCACAAATTCATGTGGGGTCTCATATGGACCGTGTGAAATCAGTGATCCGGTCCGTATCTAAAATTTTGACCCGGGTCTATTTGCGACCTAAAGGACCTACCCGTTTTATTTCATTATGGACGGTCAATTTGTTTATCGACCTCAAAGCAATTTTGTTGCGCAAGAAAAATTGTTTATTATGACAATTTTGTATCTCGATATACTACGTAGATTCTATGGCGTAGCTATGATTAACCTAAGTGTGATAATAAGTGTGCATTTTCGCACTATAGATAAACACTCGAGTCTCTTATTCAGTTAGGGACCCAAGTGCCCACTAGGAGCCACCTTCATTGTTCGACACTTAATCTGTTTGCTGTATACCAGAATACGAGCAGCGGGGCTGCTAAGTGGTTCCCCATTCTGTTCCTTGCTATACATATATGGTAGGAATAGGTACATCATTGTAGATAGGATACCCAGCAACACCAGTCAGCCAGCCAGCAAGGGGCCCTTGTGAACGCGACACATGTTGTTACATCATGTCGCCCATTGTTGCGCACCCCCGTGCCGAGTTCAAACTGTTTTCCAGCAGTAGGAGATGAGTCCCTACTGTATTTTGGGGTGTTACTAATCGTGTACCACTTGACGCTATATGACGAGGATCTGTCCACGTATCCTGATTCATATGCGTACGTACGATTCCCATAGGTTTCGCATTGGCTGCCTGACCATTTATACGTGTTCATTGCTCGAGCAGCTGATCTTTGTTGATTCCGTTAATACGTGGAAAGATGCATTTGCCTTGATAGAAATTACTTGGGACGTCGCAGACGATGTTATGAAGACGGGCTGGTCTCTGCGCATTAGGTCTGACGTCCGGGCGCCTACTCGAGGAACGTCTAGACGCCTTGGACGTTTTTTCTATAATTCAACGACACGGCTAATTTTCATCGCTAAGTCAATTTCCCGCGACGTAAAAAGAATTTGATTTTTAAGATTTTTTCCTTTTCCCCTCACTGTCATCCCGGAAATCGAATTGGATTCTGGGGGACTTATTGTTGTGTACTGTCGGTTTATCTCTGGTTCATGGCCTTTTTTTTGGTGACTGATACGTGACGTATCTTACTGCGTGATCATAGGTACTTTGATAATGGATTCTGCCGCACGATTCCAGCCCTTATCCGGCTACCGCAGTATTTTCAGGACGCAGTAGGCATGCGCGAGATCTCGAGGGGTGGCTTCTCCTTTATATGGGGATGCTCCGTTTTACGGACCAGCTCCCCACGAACTTTGCCTAATCCTTTTGTCTCAATTTTCGTGAATTTACTTTTTTTCTAGGGATTTCGTTCTTTTATGGATACTTTTTCTCTGTTTTTTTTTTTTTTTTCGGAAATCAACCAAAGTTCGGGATTACACCGTTTAGACGTAATACGAGATTATTGGGTTGTCTGTGCCAATATCTTTGCCCTGTATGTAACTATTATTATTATTTTCATTGCCAGGGCTTTCTCCTCGTACTATTCCCCATGGGATCGAAGCGGTTTACTGTCCTGATAATTGGGTTTTCATGGGTCTGTATGGTACTGTGTATTTTACACCATGTCCTTGTCTTCGACTACTCGAGTGACATTGCTGCTGGATTATATATTCTCGATTGAGCGTTTTCTCATTTGTAAGTCGACCTGTTAGTGACTTGTCGCTGTCAATCGTTGTCACTTCGTTATAGGAGATAACGAGGGTGATACTGACGTTTCTTGGTAAAATTATGAAATTATTATTACTCTCGACATTTTCTGTCTCTCGAATTACTGACCTTTCGGTTTTATTGAACTTCATTATTTCTATGTTAACAGTAAACTGCATGGTATCTCGTGTACACTAGATATTAATCTTTTTTTTTTTAATACTTGCCTTTAGTTATTGTGTACATAATTATGAGATAAATGTAATCACTTAGTCGAGTAACGTAATTCACGATACAGACTTCATACTGTTATGTCCTATTTACATTTTCTCTATGAACTAAGATAATATATATATAATTAGCGTCAGATTCACAGTCCTTATAAATATACTTGGTCCACGTGTTCGATGAGCTTTTTTGACAGGTCGTAAACAATGAAGTCTCTGTACACAGTTTCTATTACAAAGTATCCATATACATGGTATGGCACTGAATTAGATTTTATTAACTTTTTTCTCAAATCGTTATTTATTTTTCTAAAAAATCTCTTCCAAGTAACTTCATTATTTCCAATGAGCGCACGCCGTTATAACTTTATAAATAAAAAAATGCTATCATCCACACAAGTAAAAATACATTTTCTTCCTATACGATTGTTCAAATATCTATTATTTGAATTGTGAAAAAATTAATTTATCGTACAAGCTGCAAGATAAAATCCTTGTAAAAATACATATATACATATATACCAGTATAATTCCACCCTAATTACATATCTCCCGTGCGTAAAGTAATTTATAAAAGTTTAATATATCCTCGTTAAAAGATATCCAAAAATTGAAAGCCTTGTTAGCGGCTAGTCAGTAAATTAAGATAGGGGTGTCTCCCCGAGTCCAGAAACGCGTCGCGACGCCGCAGTCGTTCGAGCGCGCAAGTCCGTCCGCAAAGTCCTGGGATCGATTCTGGACTCCCAGGAGGAGGCTCCTCCCACATTGACGGCCATCTTGAAACCGGCACTGTGTGCTCACTATATCACATCACACTTGACTGCATCTACCTTACATATATCCGAAGCTGAGCCGATCGCGGGTTCTCGACGACTTATCATGCAAGATGTTCGAGAGATGTTCATCGCGGAGTCACCTCGGTCTCCTGGACCCAAGGCTGGATTACCTTTCCCACAACTTTCCACGGGTGACAGTCAACATTATTTCTCAATTATAAAAGCACCACGTGAGATGCGCACGTACGTTTCCTCAAAGGATTCCTATATGGTAGATACGTCTTCATTACATGCTCACTGCCGAGTCTTCCTATAACGATACTCGTCCTTTATTTAGGATCGGGACGAAGTCGCCATTTCGATTATCGATAAGAATTCTCGAAAGGTATGGCTATCATCATCAAAAAAAAAAAAAGCTATCGTCATCATAAAAAATCTATCATCTTCCAGAAAAAAAGTACATCGATAAGCGCCCTGATAAAATTAGCAATACGATAATAAAGAGTATCGCCATTATAATGGATATCATATAACATTTATCCCATATACTTCAATCGGCTATCTTCGTTAATCCTCGGCTTTGTTCGTGAATTATTAAAACGCATAGGTATAGACTCTCGTGGCTGTTCGACATGACAGAAATATTCATGGATGAAGATCGTTAGTGGATATGATGATTATAATTGATTCGATACCTGGTCGGTATGCCTATCTGTTGATGATTGTTTTGATTGATCGATCTTCGAGTATTTGGGACGAAGTCAGGAGTGTATACGTGATGTGAAATTATTAGATTTTTTGTAATTAAAAAAAAATGTATGACTGACGTAACGCCTCGTCGATCTTGGCGTAATGATCAATTCCCATGAAAATTAATAATTTCAATAATCTTTTTTTATCTGCTTTCAGGTACTCAAGTATTGCGATCATCTTCACGGGAAGTGGTACTTCTCCGAAGTCCGAGCCATATTCTCCAGGCGATATTTATTGCAGAATGTCGCCATCGAGATCTTCCTCGCCAGCAGAAGTAAGCATCGCTAGTTGGCTCTGGTGTTTAGCGTTTTCTTTCGATTGGACGTAGCATTTCGTTTCTTGCCTGAGACATTCTGCATTATTTCACACGACGTGATCTAATCCCGAGCCAGCCGCGGAATTCGGAGCTCGCTGTGAGGTGTGCGTCCGTGATGGTTTTTACCTAATAAATATCAGGTCCACATTACGGCGTGTCTTTTTCTCGAGTCAATTTATTATTCCGTCCGAACTCCACCTGCTCGATTGACTTTCTTTATATTGGCAATTCGCGCAAGTATCGGAGGCCGACGATAAGAGTTTTGTATATCGATATATATCGATATATGAAATTTAAAAAAAAATATATTACAGATATATAGGATTGTGAAATTTTTATTTTCGTCTGGACCAAACTGTCGGTTAATCGTCTCGTGTGAATTGTCCTTTCGAATTGAAATCAGAACGGACTTGCCGGGACTCTGGCTCGAATAACAAATAGGGACGGTGTACTTATACCTGCAGTGGATCGCCATCCCACTGATTCCATGGACCGCCCGATAAATTCTCAACGTCCTCAGATGCTTATCTGATCCTGAGTTTCGATGCGTCGTGAAACGTTACCAGTGGAATGCCACCCCGTGCATCCCTCGTCGTTTATTAAAAAATCACTGGAAACGCGCGTTCGTTAGAGAACGAGACGCGCACCGTTGGCTCGCGTCTCCGTGCGATAAATCTCGAATAATATAAAACGGGGATGAGTTACTTAATAACTCTCGTTGACGTTACACAGTCGTCTTTCGGGCGGACCTTGGGACGATTAAATAGAAAAAAAAAAACTTTTTCACCACCGAATAACAATTTCAAAATTAATTTCGAGCCCGGTCACAAACGTCCCCAAAATTTTCCGTTTTTAATGTACCGTCGGGTAAAAAAAAAATTGTCAGTTATCTAAATCAAGAATAATTAGCATTTTCTAGATTTTATTATATTTATGTATTCCGTCAACGTATACCGAGCGTAGTCCAAGTCACCCGAGCGCCATCTGTTCTCGAAATTCGAGTCACTAATACAATACAGCACCTTTAACGCTTTTTTCTTCACAGCCTCCATCCTCTTCGCGTTCCCGGACCAGGCGACGGTGAAAAAGGTGATCAAGGCACTGCCGCGCGTCGGCGTTGGCATCAAATACGGGATTCCCCAGACTAGGTAAGTCCCGGTCGTCCAGCCTCCTCGATGTGGTCCAAGGATGGCTCAGGACGGCTCTCGACTCGGAACGGCCACACGAGACTTGGCCAAGCGATTCGCCTCAGATTTCGCGTCGCGATTTTGCTCGTAGCTCAGACGAGAAGAGTTTCTCGAGAATCCTGACTTCCCCCGAGAGCCAAACAAACACGCTCGACGCATTCCACCGTTTCTTTGTCCCTTTCCGGTGCGCCCTGCTATCCGCTCTGCTCTCGTATCATCTCGCAGCCGTCTCCCGATCCTAACCAGGCAGAAGGAGACGGTCCATAGGTATTCCATTCTCCTCGAGCGGCGAGAACAGAGGTTCGCGTCTCCGCGCTTTGGACCATCCATTAAACGCTCCTCTCTTCGAACCCGGCGAGAGATACGACGTCCATAAATATACGGCCGAGCTGGACGTCTGATTCGAGAGAGATTCCTGGGGGAGAAAAGTAATTCCCCGGGACGGCACGTACAGTTGGTTGCTTATACGATCCCGAGGGAATTCGGATGTTCTTTGATTTTTGGCCACCCTTATATTCTTTAAATCGCTTATACTCTATATTTTTCAAGATCCTTTTTTTGTCATATCGCCTGATTGACTTTATTGCAGATTCGTAATATACCTATGTTATGTTATTTTAGATAGACAGAAATTTCAACCCTTAAAAATAATCTCGATCGTAAGGACGTTGGGGGATGACCGTTTTCTTTTTTTCACTTATCTTTTCTCGTTTTATAAACGTTCGAATAGGAAAAAAAAAATTTCGCCCGCTATTCGCCGTTTACGCGATGCACTTCGCGGCTCTATATTTCGGCGAGGGTATTTATGCGTCCGGTCGTCATCGCCGGGCCCTTTTCTTTCGACGTCACAACACGGTCATTAAAAGCCTCCCGTATAAATCCTAAATCAGAGATCTCCGAGTTCATAAAGTCCACTTGAGATTTATGGCGCTAACTCAAAGCGCTCGTGTATCTTAATATAATAGCTTTTACGAATTGAAGGGTAACTGTCGTCGTAATTGCATATCAAGGCTTGGACCGTGTTTATGCGCTTTACGTTGTTTTAGCAAAGTTCCACTGTTTATTTATAAAGCTCGTAGAAATTGCAATTGGCACGGTGCTATTAGTGGTTGTAAAAGTGTATTTCAATGGCGGGAAAAAATAAAAAATTTTAAATTAAATAATGCACCGTGGCATCAGATAATGCATAGATAATTGTCGGATAGTCCTGAGTCGTTCAAAGGACCACGATCTTGAGAAGATATTTTTTTACAACGGGAAAGGGCTTTCTTGGAGAAAGAGATACGGGCCGCCATTCCAAGATAAGCGGAGGACACTGCAGAGAAAAAAAGACCTATAACTTATAGGTTCCCGAGGGCTGACACAGCTGGTGAACCATGTTGACAATTTTATTTTTGAAAATCGATAGGTTCAGGTTAAATATCAAAAGCGATCGAACCCTTTAGAAAAATAATTAGTGCAAAATTAAATCTTGTTGAACTTGCAGAAGAGCATCGATGATGTCTCCGCGTCAACTGATGCGAAGTTCAAACATGACGCAAAAGTGGCAACGACGTGAAATCTCGAACTTCGAGTACCTCATGTTCCTGAATACAATAGCCGGTAAGTAGAGACCTTCGTTATCATTTAAAATGAAAAAAAAATTCCAATATAAAAATTACCCTTGTTAAATAATTGCAACCCCTTGAGTATCAAATCTCAAGTAATTTCCATAAATTCACATTTTCAATACGTCTGTTTCAAGCCCAAATTTATTTATCAAAAATCTTCAACAAATTTTTTCGTTTCGTCCTCCACGTATCTGACTCCTCGTAACGGACAAGTCCATTACCGAAACACGACCGAGTAATTCTGAATCGAGTATAACAATTTCATACTATATTCAACGTAATACCCAATACTGTATCTATATCGGTCAGGAAACAATAGCAAGGGTTAGAGATCGGTCGATTCTCCGTTCGAGCGTGCGGCGGCTGCTTCGGGAAAACATTATAGAGAAACCGGGCTTTTTAGGGCTGCACACGGGCGGATGGAGTCTGTCGCAGCGCATTAGGGATGCTCTCAATCAGGCCTCTGTTCCGTTTCCACCCCACACGAGTAATCCCTAGCCCCATGACTGGTCCCGGGTAATCCTCTCCCAGGGGCACATCATCCCCCAAGGGAATCACACGTTTCTTTGTTTCTCCCGACTTTAATATCGGGTTTTCCCTTTCTTCCCTAAAAACCCAACCAAACAAGAAATAACATACCGATCATTACACATACCATAATCGCTAAATGGTACAAGGCGTTATTTTCTTATTCATCACAATTTTCGATATGGTTAAGAACGTTCTATGGCGTCGAGGGAGACTCAAAACCAGGACTCTTCTACTTAATGACACAGATGATCGTGGACATGCAATTATTAAAGTTTCATACTGCCGCGTCCCCCTACGGGCCTGCAGTATTTACGAGCGTTATATATTAATTGGGCAAATAAATAGCCCACGGGCAAACCGTGCCGGCCGCCAAGTCCTGCACGCAAACCAAACCCAACCAACCCGACTCCAACGTCCCTCGCACGACTTATCCGGGACTTCCGAGGACGGCGAAGCGAACGAACCGGTCCGGCCGACGTGCCTGCTGCGATCGCGCATACATCGGCACTGTGTTTATTTGTCCGGTATCGGTTTATTAAAAATAATGACAGTAAATCCGATGTAAATATGATAGCCAGCATGTCGCTTTTATACTGGATATACGATACCGGCAGTTCCCTGTTTTACCGACGGAGGTCATACATCGAACTTACATAGAAGCAGGCGTGAGCGATGTCGCTGTTTATCGTATGGTCAACTTTTCACACTAATTTTTTTTCTTCATTTTCTACTGCTATAGGTACCGGTGTACTGTTGATTTTTTACGTATTGCCTAGTTCCTTGCTACTCGTCTATACTGTCTTCTCGATATATACCCTTTTCCACCTCGTCTTCGATGCAGCTGCCAACAGGTCTTTGCATTCGTCTCTGATCGTATCTCTGAGGTCCTACGCGGCAGTGAATTATTGTTCGGGACCGAATGATATATCGATAAACTATCTACGAACAAACACGGATTTGCGTTTACTTGTATTAACCCTCGTATTCGTCTGGCCAGCTATGCTTCATATATACCCATAGCTAGCACGACGCAGCATTTAGAACCCTCCCGAAGCTTCTCGCCTGGGATTTTACGTTATACCGCTCTGAACGTCCAACTAATTTAGTGTCGGTCCTCGATATCAATTAGATCGATAATTCGAATTATTTAATTGACGCCGATCTTTATCGACGAAAAAATAAATAAATTACATACAACCCATACAAATCGTATAGGTATCTCGTAAGTGTTTTCGTTCCTCGATAAAAATTAAATTATAAAAAATACTTAAAAAATTAATTTCATTTATTTAATTTTTTATCGACACGCCTCCCACCCCCACCTCAGCCCTATGTACCTTCTCAAACCAACCACGGTCTATGATCCCACTTTGGTTAACCCTGCTGGTTAAGGATGACCCTGTCTTTTTTATGCTTGCCTGTACTTATTATAACGCACGGGGTATAGGGGCACGGGGGTTCCCGGTGCCAGGGGGGTTCACGGTATAAAGCAGCGTACAGTTCACGGCATACAGAATGGTTAGAGGAGGCAGGGTTCTGGTGGTACAGCGTTACGGGAATATCATGACGCAGAGGATATAGAGAGGTGGTGCATGTGTCGCGGACATTCCGCTGTCGGGCCGCGGTCTCCGAGCATTCACTCACGCCGACGCTCCCATTAATAATCACTTTGATGCATAACGCAGTCTTACCGTTATTTACCGCCATGCGTCCTGCATCGTCATGATTTACGGCGCATTGTTCTTGTGCGCGCCGACGTCGTTTCATCGACTATCGATTTCGCATACGGGTTCCGGTCGGAACTGTGATGACGATTTTGAAAAAAAAAAAAAAAAAAAAAAT